GTTTCACGTTTTGAATGGAATTACTGAAATATTTTCAACCTTTTGATGATATTCTAATTTACTGGCCAGCACCTGTAATCATCACTCTGAGTTTTTCATGCCGGCTGAACATGAAAATAGTCTCCTACACCTATCTCCTGCATTAGCTTCTCATAGAAAATAGACTCTGAAATGCTAAGATATGAAAAGCCTGACAGATCTACGTAACACTGTCACTTAACAGTTATGGACTCACCCATCTTGAATCGCGACGGGGAAGGCTGTTGTTGGTTTAGCGTCCAGGAAATAGGAGAGAACATCTCAGCTAGTAGAAACTCACCATTAGCATTAGCAACTCCCACACACAGCAGAACTCCTTCAGGTTTGTGTTATTTGTGGAGCTAAAACATCATTGTTGCAGAGCAAACAGCCATTGGTAAAGCTGTGTTGCTGTTATCCAATCTGAGGAGAGATGTCCAAATATCAGGAAATAAGACTCCATATCTTGCCGTGTTACACTAGGATCACATCAGCTGCGAAGAGTCGCTAAGGGGAGCAATCACAAAATTTGTGAGCTGCCCGCTGCTCCTCTGTTCACATCAGGTGAGAATTTTCGATGAGCATTTCTGCTGCATTTAAAATGATGGAAACACTATGTTTCTCTGCAAGTGTGTGTGTGTGTGCCTTTCTTTGTTCATTTTCATCTCTAGTCTGTTTAGATACACAAAAATGATCAAAATTATCAATCGCAGTGTGTTGTTTTGAAAATGTCTTTATTTTGTTAAACTTACTGGCCTACCTCTTCTGTTTCGGTTTGACTTCCTGCCAGAATTGACGCAGCTCGTGAAAAAAATAGAGCACACGCCGAAATGATCACTGCACAGCGTGAGCCTTTGTCGCACTTCGCAGCTGATGTAATCAAGACCGTAGGTTAAAAAGGGAGCTGAATGGAAGTGCTCATCGTTCCATGGTGCTTCGCAGCACATAGTCGCACTTTCTTCTGGAATTCTATTTCCTGAAACCATCACCTTTAACAATTATATATATATATATATATATATATATATGTGTGTGTGTGTGTGTGTGTGTGTGTGTGTGTGTGTATACATATATGTGTGTATGTATATATATATATATATATATATATATATATATATATATATATATACATATATATATATATACATATATATATGTATATATATATATACACACACACATACACACACACATATATATATATATATATATATATATATATATATATATATATATATATATTGCCTTATGTGTTACGTTTTTATCTGTGTTTGTGAAACACTTTGGTTTTATGTAAGTGGTGCTATATAATGAAAGTTCGAGTCGAGTCGAGTCGAGAATCAGCCAGGATCAGAACTGATGGACTTTTTTCATTTTTTATAAATACAGGGAATTGTATTGGACCAGCGTGCACTGGGGTGGGTCCATGTTTCTTTTTCTCTTTTTTAACAGGACAAGCAAAAGGAAACAAAACGTTTGACCTGGATCTTTGTATCATTGATTGCCAAGCTGGATAAATAAATGGTCACAATGCAACACTCAAGAGCTTTGGTCATTGGACGTCTTTTGCCTGTGTACAAAATATCCTAATATAATACTTCAGTGCAGCAGATCTTGAGAAGTTTTTTGAGGACTTTTGAATGAATGGACGTTTGGTTGGTTTGGGTGGACAAACAAATAAATTGCCACAACACACGTTATATCATGATATTGCTCTAATGTTATTTTAAATGGGTGGCAGCTCAACATTTCCATAGTACCCCCCCCCCCCCCCCCCCCGAAAACGTTTACTCTTTTCTTTATCAAGGAATATCAGAATCTTGCAAATAATATGTTACTTTATAACCCTCCCACTGTCTTTATTGGTGACTCTGCAAGGAAAATTGACCATTGAGCAGGATTGATGTTTTTTTCCTTGGGGTCCACGCGGCAGGGGTGAGGTGATGCTCACTCTTCACCCCTGCTACGTGGACCCAAGGGATAAACCATCAACCCTGTTCAATGGTCAACTTTCCTCGCGGGGTCACACCCATTAAGACTATGGGAGGGTTACATTTCCTCCCCTTTATTTATGCATTTTTTTATTCAGTTTAATCTAATTTTATATATATTTTTTCTCAATGTATGTCTTATTTATTGGATGCAAATATAAAACTACACCAGTTAAATGTTATTTGTGTGGCTAAATTAGACTGAGCCTGAGTTTTTAATACTTGAACAAAGAATTTTTTTACATTGATTTTGATTTAGAAAAAAACGAATAAGTAAAAAAAATTACTGACGCCACGATAAAATCTGAGTCCAAGTTAGCTCATGTCAGATGTGGTTTGTTCCCACCATCATCAGCAAGCCCCATGATGCAAATTTAAAGAAATTTTGCAGAAAATCAGACTTCTCCAACTTTCCATCCCAACAACCAGACCACAGTCTGTCAGACTCTGCCCCCACCTGTCCATCACCATCACACTCAGCACCGGGCCTCCACAAGGATGTGTTCTGAGCCACCTATTGTTTACACTCTACACATCCGACTGCTCCCCGCACCGTCCCTCTAACACCATCTTAAAGTTCGCTGACGACACTACCGTGGTTGGACTTATCTCAAGGGGGGATGAGTCGGACTACAGGGATGAGGTCAGCAGACTGACTAAACGGTGCTCAGTAAACAACCTTCAACTGAACATCACAAAAACTAAAGAACTTGTACTGGACTTAAGGAAAGGTAGAGCAGACCCAGCCCCACTTTACATCCATGGGAACTGTGTGGAGAGGGTACACTCCCTGAGGTTTCTAGGAGTGCAGATATCCGATGACCTCTCCTGGACTGCAAATACCACGGTGGTGGTAAAAAAGGCCCAGCAGCGTCTCCACTTCCTGAGAGTGCCCAGGAGGAACTACTTGGAGGAGAGGCTGTTGGTGACATTTTACAGAGCCACCATAGAGAGCGTCCTAACATACGGCATAACAACATGGTATGCAGGGTGCTCAGCTGCACACAGAAAGGTGCTGCAGAGGGTCATCAAGCCCAGAAGACCATTGGCTGCTCTCTGCTGAGCCTGGAGGACATTGCAAACTCTCGGTACCTCAGCAGAGCTGGCAACATCATCAAGGACTACTCCCACCCCAGCAACCATCTTTTTGAACTGCTACCGTCAGGTCGAACATAGAGGTCACACGAAACTAGGACAAACAGATTCAGGGATAGCTTCTTTCCCAGGACAATCACCATTGTAAATAAATACAAGGAGAATTAGAGAGGAACTGTGTACATATACACTGATCTTGTGCAATAACAAATGATACACCATATATTGTTACTATATTTATTCGGCTGCTTTTCTACACCCTTTGACTGTGTTTTTATATTTTTTTTATATTTATGTTCATTTTTGCACCAGTGGGAGTGGCACTCCAATTTCATTGTACTTTGTACAGTGACAATAAAAGGCTATTCTATTCTATTCTATTCTATTCTATTCTAACAGTCAGCCAACAGACTAAGCAGATGCCTCACAAGCTGCAAAATAAATAATTGATCATCACAAAACAGCAGAAGCCTTTCAGAGGACAGCAAATCCTTTTCTGGGAGCTCAGTATGTTATATAATTATGATAAAGTGGTTAGCTGGGATGGTGGAGGTCAGCTGAGATCCATAAAATTAGTAAAAATATCTGAGAGTAATGCTCACATAAACCGATCAAAGCTGCTGTTTGACCGTTCAGACTAGTCTTAGGTGTGTTCTTGCTGTGTCTTTGTAAATCCATGCTTTCGTTCTTTTTTAATCAGCGTCAGCCTGAAGAAGCCGGCAGCTGTCGGCGAAACCGTAGCTACAAACAGGTAAACAAAACTGTTTCTGTGTTTAAAAAAGAACGAAAGCATGGGTTCAGACTAGTTCTCGGTTACCAGCAGAAATATGACCAAAGGTTTTCCACTCCATGTTCTGCTAAAACATAAAAAAATAAAATAGAGGATTTTGTGAAGGTGAGCTTAGAGTGGGAAGAATGCTGCAGATTTTTGTAAAGACAGAAACAGCTCACAGAAGTGGATTGATCAAGACTTGCTGCCATGTTGCCGAGTTGCAAGAACCATTTCGCTAAGAGGACATATTGGATTGATGAAATACATTTTTGGAAGTTGTGCTGTGTTGCATTGAGTTAAGTTCTGTTCTGTTCCCTTATGTTGTGTTTTGTTCTGTTATGTTGCTCTATTTGTTACATTGTGTTGTGTTGTCTTCTGTTCTGTTCTGTTGCGTTGTGTTTTTTTGTGTGGAGATAACCTGAAGTTATCTGGGAAATGTAGAAATTTGAGTTGTTAAGAGCATAAACTTCCTCCTGATTGAGCTTCATTCTAATTAGAATTCAGGCAGATTTTTCCGTGAGAACTTCTGCCTGATCATCCCAAAAGATGTCCATCTGTCTGCTGTATACTGCAGGTAATACATGACTTCTGGACCAAAAAACAAAAAGCAATCCACTAGTTTTAAAATGTATCATGATCATGGTTTTCTTAAGCAAAGAATATCAAAGTAACCTGGTATTTTTATGCAGCAACAAGATGGAGATTAAAATTATATCAAGCATAGAACAAAGCATCAGTACTGAATGTAATGGTGTCTTTTTTATTTTAGACTGTCATAAAGTCACTGCTAAGAGCAGGGGCAGAGCTGACAATAGGGAGCATCTGAGCACAAAAGTGTATGCAATTACTGCTGAGCATAAATAATTGTCTCTTTTAACTATAAAAAACCCTTTCTATCCATAACTTGAACAATATTACTTGTTTAAAACCATCAAGAAACTCAAATGAATAAAATTTGACAAAAACATTTTCATGAAGTTGTAAAAAACCCTTGATACTAAAATATAAAGTACTCTATTGATTTTTGCTCTGAGCTGACAACACGGGTGAGTGATTGAGAACATTGTTCTCTTCAGATCTTTTTCTTACGAACCTATAAAAGTTATGTTCTTCTGCCCTTGCAGGTGCCAACGCTTCAGCTCCAGACCAGCTGAGTTTGGCTCTGGCGTGGAATCGAGTGGACATCGCCCGCAGTCAGATATTCATCTACGGACAACAGTGGCCTGTAAGAAACTAACAAAACAAATATGTCTAAATTTAGAAATCTGTAATAATTAAGCTAGCCTTTTACTGATGAGAAGTCATTCTGTTTTTAAAAACCGCTTCAAGGTGGAGCAAATGCAAGTAAACACTTTCCAACAATCCACCCATCCTGTGTCCTCCTGTCCTTGTGCATCAGGTTGGTTCCCTGGAACAGGCGATGCTTGATGCCTTAGTTTTGGATAGAGTGGACTTTGTGAAGTTGCTGATCGAAAATGGAGTCAGCATGCATCGTTTCCTCACGCTTTCCAGACTGGAGGAGCTCTACAACACGGTAATGACAACCCCACCTGTATTTTTTCCTCTAAACTCATGCTGCAACATTTACTGTTCTTGTTCTGTTTAACAGCGACATGGACCATCAAACACGCTGTACCACCTTGTCAGAGATGTGAAAAAGGTATTCCCATCATGCCGTGCTGCTAGTTTAGTAGCTGCTCAGGAACACAGGATGCAGATTGTGTATACTGAAGAGGACATGTTTGACTAAAGAGAGTTTGTGTTGCTTTTTTGTGGCGTGTGTATGTCCTTCTGTGTGCTTTTGTTTGTGTGTGAACATTTAGGTAGCTCTAGAAGGTGTTAAAAGCATATAGACGCCAGCTTTTCTCTTTCAGCTGGATTTGTGCGCTGCATTGTCTGTGTAGAGCTTTGCACGAACCCTTTTCATGGCTCAGTATGACTCTCTCTCTCTCTATCTCGCTCTACAACACACACCACCATGAGAAAGAAACACTACATTTATCTGTCATAGATTCACAGAATTTGAGGGTTACGATTCCTAGAGAAGCATATCATGGCACATAAATGTGTTCATAAATGAATATTTTAATAATTACATGCAATTTTCTGAGTTATTAAAGAAGATACATGCACACACTTTTTTTTTGCAGAAACACAAAAACTAGACATCAGACACCAACCCACCAGACATGCTTTAGTGCATGGTGTAACATTACCATCATCCTTTTGCAGAGCTATTTTTTTAACTGCAGCAGTGTAGCTAGTGTTTGTGTGTCATTGTTCTATCAGTGTGGTGCTAATTAGATCTAACCGCTATCCCTCGGGAGGAGTCTTCATGTCATCGCCATTTTCTTTTCTATCTCATTATTCCCTTAGGAGTGTCTTCTTGTACCATCAGCAGCTGCTTTTCTCCTTTTTCTTCTCCCTTTTCTTTTTTATTCTGAGTCAGAGAGCAGGTTTTATGGTCATTTTAGGTGGAAGACCCACATTGTACAATGGCTTTTGAGTGACCTAGTCCCTTTTAGTATATTGCTTCAAAAGCAAGGTAAGAAGTAGGAGGACGACTTGTTGACCATGGCTGCTGTGGCTGCAGAAACAGACTGCACTGCAGAGAGAATTTACTTTGTGGGTTTTAGGTTAAGGATTGGTCTCAGTGCAGCGTGATGAGCCAAGAAATCTAGTGGGAACTTATTGATTACACCTATGACGGAGATTGCTTTGAAAGTCAGCTTTTGAGATTACTGTGATTTTTGTGGAGGCAATTTTAATAAACCCACAGGCATGGAACTTGAACATAAAAATAAACAAAACATTTGTTCTAAGCTGCTGCTGTTATTGAGGTCAGGAGGCCTAGAAGGAAAGACCAGAACTTTATTATTATTTTTTTAAATAAAAACCTGTTACACTTTTAGCTTTCAATGAATTTTAATGCTGAGTTTAAAGGCACAATATTCATTCTTGGAAAAAGCCATTAAAGCAAGCTACATTTGAACAAAATAAAAAAAAATTATTCTAAAGTTCCAACCCCTTTCTTTAGGCTTCTTCCTCAGTCACTGAATCTGATGGCTGCATAATATGGTACAACACCACCTTGTGACACAGACACACAAGGGCAAACCGACACTGCTCTACTCCAAACCAAATCTCCTCCTACTCTGTTATTTTTCATCTATAGTGCGGGGTATTTTTACAGTGAAAAGCAATACTAAAGTGGGACAAAGTTGCTGTTTACAATCTGTGAGCCTGCTGGGATGTCAAGCCTGCACCAGCTAACACTGCAGCGCCGTAATCTGTAATTCAACACCAGCAGGCAAAAAGCTCCAGAGTTGTTTAAAGAAATGAAGGCATAAAATGGGAGCACCCCTGAAATTTTTTCTTGCAACCTAAGATGCTACGGCATCTTTTGTTTAATTGGGTGAAGGAGGCTAAAGATTTATACTTCTCCGTGAACTCCGCAATGAAGAGTGTCGCAAAGATTTTCACAGCGTTGCAAAGCAATTCCCTGCCAGGACAACAGAGGGCGTAGCGCTGTTCGATGGTATCCTGCCACCCTAACGCTCATGTATCCGACCCACGATAGTGTACTTTCTAATGTGTTTATATATTTCAGAGACTTTATAACACGGACAAATTTGTCTTTCGTTCTCCTCCACCTCTGCTAACACCTTTGTTAATAAGTCCTGCCTGCTCAATGATCTAATTCTCTCTAAAAAACTGGATTTTCTGTTTCTGACTGAAGTTTGGCAGCAAACATCTGATTACTCTGGTCTGATTGAACTTTGCCCGAATGGTTATTCTTTTCTTAGCCAGCCCCAGGGTTCTGGTCGTGGGGGAGGCCTAGCTGTTGTTCTCAGAGACCATCTCCCATGTAGCTCTACAACCTCTGGTCACTTTGCTGCCTTTGAACTGCAGCTGATTAAAGTCGGGCGTAAGGACCCGTTCTACTGTGCTGTGGTGTATCGTCCACCTGGTCCAAACAGTTCTTTCCTTCAAGAGTTTAGTTACTTTCTATCCTCCACTGTGAAGCTGTCCAGACTGGTGATTGTTGGTGATTTTAACATCCACATTGATGATCCCTCTGATCACTTTGCCATGAATTTCTCCAGCCTTATGGACTCCTTCAGCTTTACCCAGCATGTTTATGGCCCCACACACACCAGGGGGCACACTCTGGACCTTGTTTTTACCCTGGGTCTAAACGCTGACAGTGTTTGTCCTGAGGACTTTTATATTTCAGATCACCATTGCATTTTCTTTAACTTGTCAGTTTCTGCGTCCTCACCTCCTGCTCGCCGTATGGTTAGTTCTCGTTTTCTTAATGAGAGCACAGCTAGCAATTTTTTTGCTGCTTTTGATCCGCCCTGTTCTTCTGATAACGACCCAGATTCATTAACTTTTTAGTTTAATGAGCACTGCCTCTCCATTCTGGACAACATCTGTCCTGTCAGAACCAGATCAGTTCCTGCAGTGAACCCTACTCCCTGGTTTAATGACAGCCTCCGCAACCTAAAGTGCCAATGCAGGAATTTTAGCTGAATTTTAGCTGAAAACTCACTTGTTCAAGCTGGCTTTTGTATGACCTTCTTCACCACTCTCTTTTTATTCTGCTCTCCCCACCTATTCCACCTTCCTCAGGATCCACTGATTTCCCTCTTTCCTACTCAATTCTCTCTTTCTTAACATTTGGTTTTTTAATCGAAACTGTCTATTTTTTGCTCATTTTAAATATATTTTAACCATTTTCTAAATTATTTTTTATATTTTTACATTTTTTGTTTTTGTGAAGCGCCTCATGATTTTTATCTTGAGAGGCGCTATATAAATGATATTTCTTCTTCTTCTTCTTCTTCTTCTTCTTCTTCTTCTTCTTCTTCTTCTTCTTCTTCTTCTTCTTCTTCTTCTTCTTCTTCTTCTTCTTCTTCTTCTTCTTCTTCTTCTTCTTCTTCTTCTTCTTCTTCTTCTTCTTCGTGTCTTCCTGCGGTCGCCAACTCTAAACCCACAGTTCCTGTCATTTCCGTCCATGTTTGCTCAGTATTTTGCACTCCTTCACTCACGGGTGAATACATTTTAAAGTTTTCAGACTTTTTCCGTGATACGTTCTTTAATCAGTTCTGTGTCTGCTGCAAAATGTACTTTTTAACGAAGCTACAGCGGTGCTGGTGATGAATGTACAGGAAGCGGCATCCTGACCAATCACAAGCTTACGGTCGCCGTCACTTTTGACGGATGTTTAAAAATTTGGACATTTCTGTGAGTCAGTCAGAGAGCCCATGCGCTGACGCATATGGTGTTGCATGTCTCCGCACTGACGCAGACAGAGAAGTTTAAATCAGGCTTAACATTGAAAAATTAGCTGAAGCTAAAAAAAAAAAAAACATAGACCCACCCCAGCTACGAACTCTGATGGTGAATTAAGAAAATGTGCTGGCGGTTCATTACACCAGGCTGCAATATAACAGCACCGTGCATGCACACCAGTGCCGTTCGTACCCCTCCCGATGGTTGACAATCAGACCGAGGGGTGAGGGGCGTTGGTTTGGGGGCCACAAAGAGGGGGCCCGCGGGCCGTCTATTAAATACCGATGCTCTAAACAGAACATGTTGAACAAATACTTAAATGAGATTTGCAAGCAGAACAGGACTTTTTGTCCATGACACTCTGCAGCTAAGCTTCTCTTACTGTTCAACAGCAGTTGTGAGAACACGTGCTTCGTGCACTGAGCGTGGTAAGTGCAACGGGTGGCGGACGTTCAGAGGAGTACTTTGATGGATAGGTTATAAGCCAGTGATGGAGCTAGTGGCCCAGCCCTGGATTGGAGGAGGTATTTTCGGGATTGTACGTTTTAAGGGAATTAAATTTTGTTGTATTTTGACATAACATTTGATGTATTGCTTGCAATTGGTATGAAGATTATTTCAAGCAATATGGCTAAAAATATTCTAAAATCTCAAAGTCTACCTTAAAAGAAACTTTCATCATGGACAGATATTTTTTGACAGCCCTGTTTATGTGTTGATATAAGACATTTAAAAGAAAATATACTGGCAAGTAGATCTCATCCAGGAGATTTTTGCTTTTTTTCAAAACATTTGGTCTCTTCTGAAACTGAGCCTATAAAGCAGGGCTATTCAATTCCAGGCCTCATGGGCATTCAGCACGTTTTTTTTTTTTTTTGCTTTTAACCCTGCTTCAACACACCTGATTTCAATCAGCAGCTGATTAGCAGGCTTCTGCAGAGCCTGGTGAGCTGCTGCAGGTGATTCAACCACTGAATCAAGCGTTGGACCAGAGAAACCAGTAAAATCTGCTGAATACCAGCCCTTGAGGCCTGGATTTGAATAGCCCTGCTACAAAGGAACTACAGACAGGAAGTGCACGGTTTTCTATAGTTGTTGATATATTAGTTACTTTATGTTGAAGCTCAGTGTCTTGCTGCCACCCCACCAACTATATAAAAATGAACTGTATTGCTTCACATAACCAAAAGTTTACTTCACAAACACTATAATTTTTTTATTGTTGTAATTAATTTCTGACAATTTGGGTCTGTTAGAAAATGTTTTAAACAGCTGCCTGAAATTGTTACTGCATCTGGGTTTGACTAGTGATGCCTTTTCTTTTCAAAGGAACTTGTGATGATAACGACCAAAATTAGTCCAATATTTGATCAAAAGGTTTTCTACTGAAATCATGGGGAACCCATGCAGCTGCAAGGTTTAACTTACTGTAAATTTGATCTGTTCAGAAACAGAAGCTGCAGTCTGTCATTGATTTTGAAGGGGAAAGATGAGTGAACAGGAACGCTCTAAATGATGAATTTGATGCATTACCAATAGTTTTTATACTTTGTGTAAAGAACAATGGTGTTATGATTTAACTGTGGCAATAACAAGTCTTGTTCAAGTACCAAATTTAACACTTTCTGTTGTTCATTCGGCATTATTAGTGAAAAGCAACATGTTGGACTGAATGGATTACTAGGAAACTGCGTTTGAGTTGTTTTAAAGAAGCCAGTTAACCTGTGCCCGTGCCTTAACAGGAACATGGGGACCAGGACATTTCCTGCAGGGCTTAAAGTTGAGGTTAGAAGCACGAGACAGAGCAATGAGTATTGACAGACTTTTAGGCCTCACATGAAAGAACATGTGTTCCAATAACGACTCTCCCCTCAAGCATTAGTAGCCGTCTATCGCTCCATGCTACTGCTGCTCTTTCCCAGGCTAATGAGTCATTTCCATCACTCTCATCTTCTCTCTTCAAGTCAATATTGAACTTTATAGAATCTCATTATTTCCCTGAATGAATATTATGACAAGTCATTGGATTTCTCACATCTGCTGTAATTATCCTCAGACATAAGTTAAATTCAAACAGCACTTATAAATCTCTTGCTCTTCAGCTCCTCTAATCTTTAGCGTTTGAAAGAATCCTACTACACAAAGCTCTATTTGCTGAGTTTATTGTTTGGAATTTGTTACAACAATCAAGTAGCTATAGCTAACTCACAACCTGTAGTTTCTCAATTTTAACCAAACGTCCTAAGTTTTAAAGAGTTCAAAATATACCCCTAATCTGCTGCACATTTGTAATAAAAGACTGGCTTCAATGAAAGACTGGAAGAGAGATCCTGCCCGAGAGTTTCTTTGTTCTTCATTTCCCCCCTGCTCTTGCTTACCGTGCGTTTTACTCACTGACATTGTGTGTTCTTTCCAAGCGAGAATATCCAGGGTTCAGTTGGATCTACTTCAAGGTGAATCCAATAATCACGTTTTCTTTTGTAGCCAAAAACAATTTGTGATGTGCGTGTGTCTGACCATGTGTGGTTCATTTGTTCTCTTGTTTTCCCTTTTTGTTTGTTTTAATAACTTGGTGTGGGGTTGTTGCCTGTAAACGCTCTCTGGTTTGTAGGGAAACCTGCCCCCGGACTACCGCATCAGTCTCATTGACATAGGACTGGTCATTGAATACCTCATGGGTGGGGCGTATCGATGCAACTACACCAGGAAGCGATTCAGAACTCTGTACCACAACCTGTTTGGACCCAAACGGGTGAGTAAAAGATCCCCACCTTCATTACCATCCTGCATTTTAATCAGTGTCGGGATCCACGTTGCTAAGGGAAGGAACCGCATTTAATGAGCTTTGAGATCAAATTTGTCCTGTAGGTGCATAATGGCAGATAAGATGAGAAAATATATATTTTTGGTAATCGAATTTAAATCAGGAGCTGTTCTCCTTAAGATGCACCTTGTTCTGCTGATCCAAATCATTTAAGCCTAAACCAGCACATTTCCAGATGTGTTGTGTGAAAATTGTCAGAAAGAAAATGGCTGGTGCAATCTGCAGCAAGAAAGAAGAAATAGCTTTAATGATTTAAATCAGATAAAGTTTATAATGGTACAAAAGATATTTTCAAACTAATCTGTAGCTTTGTGTAAAACTGGGATTTGAAATGATAGAGTGCTTCTGCTTGAGTAACAGGGTAACTGCCAGTATCCAAACATAAATTAAAGTTGTGATTCACTCGTTTAATCAATACATCTGCAGTGTTTTCTAGTAGGAATGAATGCTTTGTAAAGCCCTGGTGCACCTGTTTCAGGATCTAGACGATTGCCAGATCAGAGGAGAGCTTCGGACGGCAGGATCCGGAGTCCTGCTTCCTGATATTTGAACATCCCACCTCTGATTGACTAACAGAAACATGACTCTACCACTGACTCCATTTATTTTGCAACATTAATGTTTCTTCTTTACAAATAGCACAAGCGCGGAGGACTTCTGCTGTGTGGTGGAGTTGATAATGCTAACAGTTAGCTCCTACTAGCCGAGCTGTTCTCTGCTGTTTCCTGTATCCCAAACCAACAACAACCGTCGCCTGTTGCGAGTTAAGACGGTTGAGTCCAGGAACAATAAGTGACAGTGTGACGTAGATCTGTCGACATTTTTCTGATCCATAAATTTTCTTTCAGAAGCTAAAGCAGGAGATAGGTGTAGGAGACTATGAAAACTTAGAGTGACCAATTATAATCAGAAATAATAGTAAAAAAATGTTTTTGCAGCGAATCACACCTTTAAAGTTTACATTTGTGTGGTCAGGTGAGTTTTACAATAACGACACGTTTAAGAAAACTCAATCTAAAAGTCGAGGGTTTTACTGCTGAGTTCTTGAGCTTGAGAGCAGTTTCTGATGCCGGGGAAATTATTATGTGGGACTGAGTTGTCGCTCATTACCAGAGGTCAAACATGAAAACCTTGTTTTCAACCTTGATGCAACAAATCGTGCCTCAGTGGTACTAGCTCTTCATCGGGTGCCGATTAGACTCTGAGAAAACGAGCACTCCATTACAGAAACTCCTCTCAATAATCTCCACAATCAAGCCAAGTGGAGTCAGTGATAACTGAAGTCATACTACGTCACACACAAACACACACACACACAAACACACACACACACACACACACACACACACAAACTCACACACACACACACACACACACACACACACACACACACACACACACACACAAACAGCACAATACAGTGTTCTGTTGCTCGCTCTGCCTGGATAACTCACACACCGCCGCAGGTGTGATAAAAATAGAAATATGCACAGGTGTTCAGAACAGTTTATTACATTTCATTTGTGCTTTTATTTTACAGTGTAAACGTTTAAATGAGGCAGTTATATCAGTTATCGAGATTAAAACACAGAAATGTGACTTTGAAAGAACTCGCAGTTGGGACACAGATGGCGCTTCAGTCACAAAGTGACACCGACAGGTGTTTCATTACAGCTTAAAGTGACACCTGTATTTAAACTAATAAGGAGTAAGTAGGATTGGACATGTTGGTCATTGGTGCACATTTAATAGCTACGGTTAATATTTGAGAAAAAAAAATGAACTAAATCAGCTCTTTCAGGTGACTTTACTCTGTTCTGTACCGTAAATGATCAGTCTGACAATGCCACCCAACCACAGAAACTATTAGAGGGGTATTACAGCTCCGTTGTAAGACAAAAGCTGCTCATTACATAGACAAGTGCACAGTTGGCAGTTCAGTGGTGCAAAGAAAACATATGCAGTGATCCACGGAGACAGAAGAGCTACAGATGGACAGCTGGGTGAGCACATGAGAGAACTGTACAGGTCCAGATCCTCTGATCTCTACAGTGAAGGGTGTTGACTTAGTTTCAGTTCATCCGTCACCTTTAAGGGTCACTGCAAATCAAAACACAGCTGTTATGAGCTATCGTTTTTATTAAACAATGAAACATTTTATCCAAATGGGGTTGACATCAGTATGTCAGTGCTATGAAGATGTATGTGCTATGGCTTTTTGATCGGCTGCAGGTTTATGGTAGCCTGGCAAGCCAGACTAAATAAATATATTATTTATTATTTATAAATATATTATTTAGTCTGGCAACGCTCCATTGACAGCTCTCAGTCATGGGGCGGGTTCTACCGTTGTCTTTCAAACGATCTCCGCATGCTACTGGACAATGAACAACGTGACATGCTCACCGCAACAGATCTCGGTAAACGAGGCGGTCCGCTGTTGAAAAAGGCAAAAATCCATCATTTTTTCTAAAAAAATAACTTAAATATGTCTATCTGCTCCTGATTCTAATAAAGCCCAAGTCCAAATAGTCCAAAATTGATGTAAAAGCTGTTTCAAACGAGCTGTCGCCATCTTGTTCCACTATTTTGCATCATCCTGCCTGCCAGACAAGCAGAGGGCCCTGATTGACCCACAAAGCGGATAAAGCGCTGTGATTGGTTCACAAAGCAGATAGAGCGCCATGATTGGCCCACCATTATGGACCAATCACAGCTCTGTGTGTTTGAAACCCCTCTAGAGAGCTGTGATTGGCCAGCCAGAATGCTGCTGGGGCTGTAGAGGTTCCAACGGAGCGTTCCTAGACCAAACTTTGCAAAGCAAGAATTTGGTCTAGTTCACTAGACTAGGTTTATGGGAGATGTGATCATAAAAACACAAAATGCATGAATGGTTTGAGTAAGAACTCATTGTCAGCATTAAGTCCCGCCCATCCTCAGTGTGTTTGGCTCCATACGAGTGTCCCTGGTTTCCAAACCTGTTTGTGGTGAACATGAACAATAGGTTTGCAATCTGCAGTTTTTTTACACAATCTGATTTTGTTGGTGTCTAAAAGTCACCATTTTTAGTACAAGATGAGAGTCAGCTCCTCTAAATTTGAGGTCATGGTTGTTGACCAGAAAAAGGGTGCAATGGTCCCCATAATGAAGTCTCTGCTTTGGTCTTTTGTGGTGAAGAAGGAATTTAGCTGTAGGACAATGCTCAAAATTTACAGGTGCACCCTGACCAAATGTCCAAAGATTTGGATTATGACCTAAAAGAACAAGATTCTGGATATGAGTGGCTAAAATGAGCTTCCACAGTAGTACTGCCGGTCTCAGTTGTAGATGTGTGCCCCCATGGGAGCAGCTTGGAGGAAAGCCACTGCTCTTCTACACTGAAATAAGTCAGGTGAGGTGGTTCAAGCGTCTGGCTGGATGCTTCCTGCACACCTTCCTCTGTTGGTTTGGACACTTTGGAGGGATTTTGATTCATCTTAGGCCTCGGAATGCCTTGGAATCCTGGAGGAGTTGTGAATGTCCCTTCATGGACCTGTTGGATGCATGCTTTGCTAAAATTGTTACATCTGTTTTATAGGGATCAACATAAATGCCTTGGAAACACCCAAATATTACAAGCTCTTACGTCTGTCCATTCAGTTAAAGATCATATTTGCATTTCATGGCTGCACTGTGGTGCAGTGGCTAGCACTGTTACCTTGCAGCAAGAAGCTCCAGGGTTCAAATTCCAACCAGGGGCCTTGTTGCATGGAGTTTGCAGATTCTCCCTGTGCGTGCGTGGGTTCTCTTCAGGTGCTCCAATGTCCTCCCACAGTGCATATAATTTCAAAAATCTGTAAAACCCCACAATGATAGCTGTACCACAGCTTATTACTTTAAGACGGGGTTATTCGTTTCCGGGTCTCGAGGGCCGGTATCCAGCACGTTTTAGTGGTTTCTCTGCTCCAACACACTAGATTCAGTGGTTGAGTCACCTGTGCAGCAGCTCGTCAGGCTCTGCAAAGCCTGGTTATCACCTGCTGGTTAAAATTGTGTGTATTGAAGCAGGGTTGAAACTAAAATGCACTGGATACAAGCCCTCAAGGCCTGGAATTGAATGGCCCTGCTTTAAGACATTTACCTCTTTATCAAGATTTTTACTTTCCTCATACTCTTCCTCATTTGTCCAATCCCTCACTTGTCTTCTGCTCTCTTGTGCAAGATCTAAACTCTGCAGGTAGCATGTGCCAATTTTATAGTGACTAGATAATAAACTATATTAGACTTTAGTATGATTTTACTATTGTCCTACGGACAATTCAAATTACTAAACAAGCTTTAATTTTCTGTACTATTACTTCATGCATCCGGCATTAAAAAGTTAGTACCAATAATGATTTATTTATTGTTCCATGAATATGTTTTTCCCTGCTGTTGTGCTTGTTGGCATATTTGAAAAAGACAAAGCGAAAACTATCAATCGGCTGCAGAAACGTGGATAATGTGTGGCGAAAAAGCAGAACAGAGACTTGGCAAAACCCGATACAGTCAGTTCCAGTTTCACTGCCATTTTCCACAAGAACTAAATGTGCGACACACACACACACACACACACACACACACACACACACACACACACACACACACACACACAAACTGATGTTAAGTAACAACAAAGCTTTGAAATAGATGTGGTTATCAGAATTCCCACAGGAGACTTGGGTTATTTTTATCGCCTGGATGATAGCTCATGAATGCATAATTCATACATGTCCTGCTTTTTGACAGCAACACAGCACTTGGGCAAACACGCAAGTTCTCTTAGCTTTCGTACATGCAGGTGTAAGAGCTCACTGATTTGCTGTATTGTTAATCACATGCAAGAAACTGTTTCTCCTTCTAAATAATTTGTTAAACTGAGTTTTTTGTTTGTGTTAATGAATACTTATAACCTCCTACTAGTGAGTTTACACAGGTCTTTGAGTCTGTGCTTGTATTAAAATGCATTAAACAAAGGTTTCTTCTATTTGTGTTGTTTTTAGCCCAAAGCCCTGAAACTGCTGGGAATGGAGGTGAGTCTTGATCCCATCAAAGTTGTTATTCAGCTACTCCTTCACAATTCCTCTCCCTGATCCCTCTAGCCCCGTCACCTGTGTGATGTTCTGAGTGAATAGCTGGTAACAACAAGGTAGTCACCTGTGTGATGTGTGCCTTTCAAGTCCGATTCACTTCTGGGCCAGCTGAAGTCCTCTAGTCGTGAAAACGTCAACATCCTTTTCTTTTTTTCAATATATATAATTCTAGAAACAATAACAACATCCAAACACCAACCTTCTGGTAAAACAATTTTAGTTTTTATACTGATTCCCATCAGGACGACATGCCAATCCGCAGAGGCCGCCAGAAGACGACGCGTAAACGAGAAGAAGAGGTGGACATTGATTTGGATGACCCAGAGATAAACCACTTCCCTTTCCCCTTCCATGAGCTGATGGTGTGGGCTGTGCTCATGAAACGTCAGAAGATGGCGCTGTTCTTTTGGCAGCATGGTGAGGAAGCCATGGCCAAGGCCTTGGTGGCATGTAAGCTGTGTAAGGCCATGGCTCACGAAGCATCTGAGAACGACATGGTGGACGACATCTCGCAAGAACTCAACCACAACTCTAGGTAGGTAACACACACACACACACACACTCACATGTTTGTGTGCTTGACAGGATTAACTAACACTGGGAGAAATAAACTCCCTCCAGCTTTGAAATCAAAATTTGCTGCAGCTTGGATGACCAAAAACGGGTAAAGACCAATCATATTTCTCCCACTGGTACCTCCAAACAATTGGTGGTCATTATACAACTTTTTTTTTCATTTGACAAAAAATTAAGAAGACTAAAATGCTTAATTTAAATAAATATTCATTCAACAACACTTTGGAGGATGTGGACACTTTGGTGTCACTTCCCTAGTGAGGTCCAACCAGGAGGAGGCCTAAAGGAAGACCCAGGACATGTTGCTCATCTGACCAGGGAATGCCTTGGGATTCTCCAGGAGGAGCTGGCCCAAGTGGCTGGGGAGAGGGACGTCTCCTCTCCACAACAGATTTAGATTCAAACTCTGATAATGAAAACTAACAGATTGCATCAAATTTTCATTTCAACACGATTCCCCATCCTTAGCAAGCAAGCACTGAGTGATAGTGGAAAGAAAATCTTCTTTTGTTAAAGTGACAGTGTGTATTTCCCCTGGCGATATGGGGCAGCAGATACCTAAATCATTGCAAGCAGGCATTATTTTTGTGTTCAAATTAGACCTTACCAATGGATGGCCATTAGGTTGAAAAATCCTTGGGAGTGCAACCTCCAGCAAAAAAACAAGCACATCAGATTTCCTTTCATAACTGGCAACAAGCGAACAGGTAAATGTGTAAAACAACAACGTTTATTTTTGGTGAAAGTTTTGTAACCATTTGTTACACATCAGTAAATGCATTTTGTCTTCACAGGTTTCCATAAAAGGAAATTTTTATCCAATATGGCATTGCCCAGAGACTTAGACCCGCTCCCATGTATTTTAGAATAGATTTTTATGGTTATATGTTAGGAAACAGCCAACATTTTTCAACAACTGGGCACCTTTTAATTAATTTACAACAACATTTCGATTGACATTTCCAGAGATTAATGGTAAAAACCACACATTATCACTTTAACAGAACTAAATCTAGCAGAACTAAGATGGACGACCATCTGTCCAGCTGGGGTTTGAAAGCTGCAAATATAAACAGCTCCTAAATGAATGAATGATTAATGAGAGTTTTAGCAGTGAATCTTGACATGAATGTCTGCCCCCACACTACGGTATATATAGTCTCTCTCACACACACACACACACACACACACACACACACACACACACACACACACACACACACACACACACACACACACACACACACACACTGACATATCTTATTATGCAGCAAGTTGGCCTGTTTCGACTGAACTCCTATGGGATTTAAGGAACCTGTTCATAACTCGCACACATCATCGTTAGTTAACGAGAGGAAGGTGATGCAAGAGAAGAAGATGCCGGCTACAGCAACACTGTGAATTAGAAGGGAATCATTCGAGGCTACCTCCTCTAATATGCATGCAATTTAAAAAGAAAAACTTTTTTAGACCAGAGATATTTTTAGTTCAACTTCCCACGTGGCACCCTTTAGAGAACTCTTAATGACTAGCCTTTTTTTCCCAAACAACACATAATCTGGAGTATTTGGAAAGGTATTTGTCCTTGTTTATGTGCATGTGTGTAAAAGCTCAAAGGATAATCATGTGAATTCTAATGTGCAGATGTGGGATTATATAATGTGGATACTTGCAGTCTCATGTTCTGTAGGGAGCTCTCATTTCTAAGATGTTTTCACACAAGCTGAGTAAAGAGTGTTGCAATTTCTACCAGTTATGTAAGACCGCCTCATGCAAGTTATTTGAAAAGTCTTTCAAAGAAACAGGAAGTTGTTCATCTGTTCGTAGAACTCAGATGAACTGTGGGATATGTGGTGCACCTGCGACATTGAGAGTCTTTGTTTTGGAAATCTTTTAAGTCGTCCCATCGTATTTATGTCTTCTCCCACAATCTGAAATTAGAATAAAAAGGAAACGTTATTTATGTTAACAGGAAGTTGTACTATTAAAATGTTCATGCAAGAAATGATGTTTTTGACTTTGACCTTTCTGAAGATTTTAATTGTATTATAATAAGTTTTATATTCCTATTTAACCACATTTTAACTCCAATTCAAAGGAATATACAGAAATGTCAGTGTGCACGAATACATTTATACATAATAAATATGTTAGATGGCCAGTGCTGTCTTGAGTGATTTAATTTTGATATTTCAAAAATTTCAAATTTCAAAAATTGTTAAGACTCTGTATATGTTCTGCTTATATTTTGACAGAGAGTTTGGCCAGCTGGCTGTGGAGCTCCTAGATCAGTCATATAAACAGGATGAGCAGATGGCGATGAAACTTCTGACATATGAGCTGAAAAACTGGAGCAACGCCACCTGCCTGCAGCTGGCGGTAGCAGCAAAACATCGAGATTTCATCGCTCACACCTGCAGTCAGATGCTGCTGACCGACATGTGGATGGGACGCTTGCGCATGCGCAAAAACTCAGGCCTCAAGGTAGCATGATAAGAGCAGATGTTCAGAATGATGTGATTTCAGCCTTTTGTGTTGGAGAATTGTGTTTTACAGTATATTATTGCCTAAATCTCATTCAGTGCTTGATGAAAGTTGGGCTAAAACGTGAGAATAATCCAAATTCACCCTAAACATTTACTTCATGTGTAATATGGAAAAACTTGGGCATGTGAACAGCATTATTTGTTTGTTTGTTTTTACTATAAAATGTAGAATGAATTAACATGCCCCATTAGATGTAGAGCCGTATTTACAGTGGTGCTACCAAGGGATGGCCAGGAGGGGCCATGGCCATCCCTACCACCCTCTGATGATCCTAGTGGAAACCACTCTCTAAATTAATCTAATTTGCACAAGCCTTTTATTACTCTTCTTTAATTAGGATAAATGTCAAAGCCAATAGATACATTAATTGTATTAAAATCTTAATAAACTATTCATTTAAGATAGTCGAAACTCGGATTCAGGAGAAGCAATGTAGTTTTTGTCCTGGCCGTGGTACACTGGACCAGCTCTATACCTTTAGGGGGGTCTAGGAAGGTGCGTGGGAGTTTGCCCAACCAATCTACATGTGTTTTGTGGATTTGGAGAAGGTGTTTGACCTCATCCCTCGGAGGTCACTGTGGAGGGTACTTCGAGAGTACAGGGTACCAGGCCTACTGATATGGGCTGTTAGGTCCCTGCATGACTGGTGTAAGAGCTTGGTCCGCATTGCCAGTAGTAAGTCGAGCTCGTTCCCAGTGAGGATTGGATTCCGCCAAGGCTGCCCTTTTTCACCAATTCTGTTCATAACCTTTATGGACAAGATTTCTAGGCACAGCCAAGGTGTTGAGGGGATCCGTTCTGGTGGTCTGAGGATTGAGTCTCTGCTTTTTGCAGATGATGTGGTCCTGTTGGCTTCATCAGAATTTGATCTTCGGCTCCCACTGGAGCAGTTAAAAGCCAAGTGTGAAGCAGCTGAGATGAGAATCGGCTCCTCTAAATCCGAGATGATGGTCTTAAGTCAGAAGAGAATAGAATGCCTTCTCCAAGTCAGGGATGAGGTTCTGCCCCAAGTGGAAGAGTTTAAGTATCTCAGGGTTTTGTTCATGAATGAGGGGAAGCTCAGTGGACTGGTGCTGCATCTGCAGTGATGCGGTCATCGTACTGATATGTCATGGTGAAGAGAGAGCTTTACCAGTAGATCCACATTCCAACCCTCCCCTATGGTCACGAGCTTTAGGTAGTGACAGAAAGAATGAAGTCGCGGAAGCCAGAGGCCAAAATGAGTTTTCTCTGCAGGGTGGCTGGGCTCTCCCTTAGCGATAGGGTGAGAAGCTCAGTCATCCGGGAGGGGCTTGGAGTAGATTTGCTGCTCCTCCATGTCAAGAGAAGCCTGTTGATGTAGCTTGGGCATCTGATAAATAGGCCTCCTGGCCAGTGACCGCCTTGGGGTTCAAAAGGAAGAGTTGGCCCAAGTGGTTGGGGAGAGGGAAGTCTGGGGATTCTTGACTTAGGCTGCTGCCCCCACTACCCACCTCCGGATAAGCGGAAGAGAATGAATGGATGGATGGATGGATATTCATTTAATAAATCATAATGTAAATATATACACTGCCCAGCCTACAAAAGTCACCACCAAAAAGGTCATACACTCACATTTTTTTGTTGGACCGCTTTTAGCTTTGATTACAGCACACATTTGCTATGACATTGTTTTGATATGCTTCTGCAATGTCACCAAATTTATCTCCATCCAGTGTTGCATTAATGTTTCACCAAGATCTTGCATTGATGATGGTAGAGTCTGACTGCTGCACAAAGCCTTCTCCAACACATCCCAAAGATTCTCAATGAGATTAAGGTCAGGATTCTGTGGTGGCCAATCCATATGTGAAAATGATGTCTCATGCTCCCTGAACCACTCTTTCACTATTTGAGCCCGATGAATCCTGGTATTGTCATCCTGGAATACACCCGTGGCATCAGGGAAGAAAACATCCATTGATCAAATAACCCGGTCATTCAGAAAATGCAGATAGTCAGCTGACTTCATTCTTGGAGCACTTCCTGTTGCTGGACCTAGACCTGACCAACTGCAGCAACCCCAGATCATAGCACTGCCCCCACAGGCTTGTACAGTAGGCGCTAGGCATGATGGGTGCATCAATTCATCTGCCTCTCTTCTTACTCTGATGCACCATCACTCTGGAGCAGGGTCCATTTGGACTCATCAGACCAGTTTTTAATAAGGTGTTGGGCAGTTCTTAACCCAGTTTTAGTTGTTCCTGCAATTTTAGATGTTTTCTCTGCTTGATGCATGCTGATCTGACCCTTCTCAAACAGACTAACATCTTTTCCACGACCATCAGATGTGTATTTCCACATGCTTGTTTTAGAAATGAGAAGCAACTCATTGCACCAATTGGGTTAAATAACTTGTTGCCAACAGTAATTATCCAATAGAAGGCTTGTACCTAATTAGTTTAATTGAATCCAGATGGCAACTTGTTTTGGCCAGACAGTGTATGTATTTCACTGAGACTTACCTACCTATTTCCCCAAAAAAGTATAAGTTCCAATTGTTTTTTGTTTTTGTTGAAACCACAATAAGCAAATTGAACTTTTAAAATCCTAAAACAAAACAATAGGAAACACTAACAGAGAATCTGAGGTAAATGCGTTGGATGCATAGGCCTAATGTTTATTTTTTGTTGTTGTTGTTTTGGTAATAAAAAGGGAATGATTGAGCGATGCACTGCACAACAGGCTAAACTCTCCCAAAAGTACCACGTGGACCAATTTGGTGTGCCAACTCCCAACCTAAAATTTGCACTGGCCCCATCTTACTAAAAATGCAGAATTTAAATGTCACTATAAAATCATCTTCTAATCATTAGCATTAACATATTTTTAAATGTGTCACACATTTTTTTCCCCTCCTAAATCCATTTTCTAATATTTCTTCTGCTTCACACATGATAGTTGTATTGGTTCTAAAGCATACATCTTGGTCTGAGAATATGGACATTTTTGCCTAATTTGCAAACCCAGATGTACTTTATTGTAAAGCAAAACCTCTAAATAATTTGTAATAATTCAAAAGTCAATGTTGCAGTTAACAGTGTTTCCCACCAGACAGCACAGGCAGGTTTAACGTTCATCTGAAAAACCTCAAAACTCTGATCATGCTGATAATTATCATATGAGAATAACTTCTAATTTATTGTTAAAAACTTTAAAACTTTTAACAATGTCTAAAACCATGGCTATTGGATAATTATTAAAAAATGAATTTAAAATTGTGACAAGCTTCTGTTTAATGTGTATAAGCCACTTGAGTCAGAGGGAGAAAGACTTGAACTTTATTATGAAAACATGAATGTGACAGTTTGCCTTGAAGATATCACATTAATTATAATGTAATGGACAGCCCTTCGCATCAAGAAGACATGTTTCATTAAGGAGCGGCGGTTGAGGCTTGAGTGATGTGTGCTCATGTGGCTTTCCCAGATGTCTGGTGGTACGGTGACAGAGGGCGGCTGCTCACACCACAAAGGTTGGAGATATTTTTAATCACGTGTTGCTTGAGGATTTGCTGGAGGTTGCGTTCACACTCAGTCATCCTGCTAAATGAGGCAGGATGGAGGAGCCTGACTGATGTAGAGCGGGAAAGGCTTTCAGTGCAGTAAATATCTTGGTTATTTTTTGGGGGTTTTTTTTTGCTCGAGGGAAGGAGAGAGGAAGAGTGTGGTTCTAAGACAAATTCACTAGAGCAGAAGGAAAAGGAAGCAGAAATCAGTGGAACAAACAAGATCCGGGGCCTCTGGGAGTTTATGATCAAATATCAATATCAAAACAGTGAGCTATTATTTTACACTGATACAGTTAAAAGCGGCCATTCTAAAACAGCTTGCTACATGCGGTCATAGGAGGGTGTAAATTAACTGTATGGGCCATGGGGCTGTATTTATTTCTGTACCTTTCATGCTTTAAAGAGGAAGTTCACAGAGAAACTTTATTTTACAATTTTTTTAAATAAACGCTCAACATGAGAATGACCTTCTACCCTTTTTTCCTGCATTAGCCAATGAAAGAAAAAAAATAGGGAAACACTCGGGTTCGAAAAAGCCACAAAGATCTACGTCACGCTGAAAATTTGCACTCACTTTATTGTGCCTAAATGTTGTGTTTAGTTGTTATTAGACGTTTTGCTGTTTTAAATGTTGATGTTGATGTGTTACGTCCCCGACAGGTGTTGAGAAAGTGTGAAGGATGGGGGTAACATATGAACTGGCGGAGGAGTTTAAAATGGGTTTATTTGTAACAGAAAGGTATTAAAGCACAAGCAAACAGATCTCTCTAAAAAGGTTAACATTACACAGCCAAATTATCAGCTATAAAACACCTGCACTTATATTAGAAGTTTAATCGAGCAGAAGGTGTTTTAAAATCCCAAAGTTGATAAAAGTCCGAAACAATTTACTGATTAAAACACCTGGTAAAAGCTTATTTTAAAAGCTTTACCACACGAAGGTGTTTAAAAACCAAAGTCAGTAAAATTGCACCAAATACTGTTAACCTTTTAAAAACTTATCACCAAGAGTTAAAAACATCCCCAGGTTAAAACTCCAACTAATCCAAACGAATGCAACCAAAAAGGGGTTAAAACCAAACAAAACCCAGGAGGACAGCAGAACCCCTGCACTGCTGAAGGCACAGCCCTTTTATGCAGGTGTTTGCTCATCATGATGATTCCTCGCAGCTGTGCTCCTCAGCAGCCCGGGAGAGAGGAGGAGGAGGAGGGGCGGTGTCAGGCTGATTCACCAGGGCTTGGTGATCCTGGCTGCTTCTCTCCATAGGCCAGCCTGGCATCCGTAACATGGTGTGTGTTAAAAAAAAATACAAACATCTTCCTTAACTCATTTTCTGCCTGTTACGTCCCTTCCTGAACGTCCAGTAGGATGAGGAGACTAACACAGGAAGATAGGTGGAGGAGTGTGTGTGAGGACACATAATGAGGTGGTGAGAGTAAAAACAAAAGGGTTTATTAACAAAAGGTGTCCGCTTCTAACGGCACAAACAAGGCTTGACTATGATGGTGATGAAAAGGTGGAAACTGAAAACATAAGCGATTAACTGCTTATGAAAAATGGCCTTTTGCCAAACTTAAACAACAACCACCTAACGGAAAAATCCCCAGCTCAAAGGCCAATGGGGATAAAAAACACCGAAATTACAAAACTGACCCTCTGTCAGCTAAATCCTACAAATGAGGAAACTAAGCCTATTCCTTATAGAAAACACCCTAAAGCCGTACCGCAAAGATTTAACCTTAGCATTGGTTATAAACCGAGCTCAGGAGAATCGCAGACTAGCTCTGGATCTTCCTGACTGTCTGCTGCGTTCCTCTTTTAAGCCCTGTTGGCATGCTTGATAGCTGATTTTGATCAGCTGCTGTCTTCTCTGGCGTGCCTCTCTCCAATGTCCTGAAATGGTGCTGGTAAGTAAGCTGCTCCGGAACTGTCCCTGGTGCTGAATCCTCGGCAGCGGGGACAGCAGGCTCAGGTAAAGATGAGAAGGAGGACCGAGGGGACGAGGGTTGTCACACTGCCATTGACGACAAAAGTCGTCATTTTAAATCCAACCATTCATTGCCAATGACGACTAAAGTCGTCATTTGCATTTTTTTTACTGTGTTGGCATCAGAATGAGCCCCCGCACTGTGAGAGCACACATCCCAACTCGAAAGCCGATTTTCATTCACGTATGTCACACATCATGAGATCAGGAAGCAGAAAATCCATGCATTAGGAGGTCATTTTGGGCCACTGCTGTAAATAAAAAAGTGAGGCGCGAACCGGAAAAGCTTCTGCCGGTCACAATTCGGCAACAGATTATGAAAGAAAGGATAATGCTCGAAGCGTGCGGTTATTCCTGATGTAAGAGGTGAGTCTACTCATTGTTTTGGTAGATTTGGCATTGACATCATCCTAGTGCGCACTGTTCTGTGACTCTTAAAAAAACTGTAAAAAACGCTGAAAACCGCTGGCAGCAAAGGGCTTTTCTGATCAGGAAATGGCTGGCAGTGAATGAGTTAATAACAAGAAAGTTTTAACCCCTGCTTCTCCTCCAGCTTAAAGGAAGCACCAGGGATTTTTTTCCACAAAGTACGACTCACCTGGCATTCAGTTACCCCAAATCCAGTCGCAGCATCAGCAAATGGCAGCGGCATCTCCAAATGGAATCCATCATAGTTTTAGGGTTGTGGTGCAAAACATTTCAGGCGCTTCCCAGGAGCAGCTCATGGCGATAGGACTAGATTCCATTTTTGCTGTGAGCCGCTTCTGGGACACGTCCATTTCTGTGGTTAACGTAGGGCTAGACAGGAAGTCCCACATGGTTTCAGTGTAAAACGTCGAACAATTTTTCAAATAAAAGACTGTTGCAGAGATGCAATTTTTAATCTATGTAGATTACATCAACACATGTGGCCTAACAACGTATTTTCTCCCGGCATCTTTTGAGAAGTGCAGCGGTGTGTTTTTATGGCTTTAGTCCTGGCAGTGGAGAGGAACATTATACGTGACATCAGACAGTGATGTCAAACCTTCTTCATCTGTTTGGTTTAACATCGGGTAGCATAAACAAACTGTGACCTTTGAAGTCTCTGGGATTTTGTGATCTTGCAAGTGCAGCAAAGAGGATGGTGGAGAAGCCACTCCATGACTGAGATGGTCTCCCGGATTCACAGTGAAGCATGCAAGTTAACCGTCCCATCGCTGTTGCACACCGCTGATGCCTCCAGTGTGGATTCGGGGTTATAGAGACTACTGCAGCTGTACTGAAAAACGGAGTGAATAGGAGGTTTAATGTGACAAAAGAAGCTGAGACACTACTTTGTTGTACATGTGTACTGTGGATATATGAATGAAAAAACTCACTGATCTTACAGAGATAAGAAGACATTTGATGTCCAAGCTCCATCCTCCTCTCATCTTCTAGTTCTTCACCTTCTCATTGTCATTTCAGCATCCTTTAGTTTCTTGTGTTATGTATCTGAAGCATGTACAGCACATGTCCTTTAGTTGCTGCTGCTGTAGCTCTCATCGATCCTATCAGTGCAGTAATCCTGCTGCCTGTGTGAAATAACGCTTTTGTAATTGACTTCTACAACAAGAGCTCTCGTCACTGTGGCATGATGCAGAGGTGTCAGTAAGGATGCATTTATATCGTGAGTTTCACACTAAAGTGGGTCGTGTCAGCTCTAAAGATTGGTTTGTGTCCAGATTCTCCATGGACACATTCATCTGATTCCTGTGATTTTACTTCTTCTCTATGTCTCCATCATCATCCAGGTGATTTTAGGTCTTCTTTTGCCTCCGTCCATCCTGAGTCTGGAGTTCAAAAACAAGGATGAGATGTCCTACATGCCTCAGGACCAGGATACTTATTTGCAGGAAAAAGAAGAGGAGGAGCCCGAGAAGCCAGTCAAGGAGAAGGAGGAGGAGGACATGGAGTTCACAGTAAGATCTTACTGTGAGACGCAGTACAACTCCGTGGTGAGAGACCTCAGCCCCGCACCACAGAATCCACACATATTCAGACAACACAATACACGCCTACTGTGTTTGAGTCCAAAACTGAACACTCACTCTGCGTGCCTTCCAATTGTCTCTTGTGGACTAATCTGAAGTGTGTGATGACCACAGTGAGATAGGCACAAACTTGCACACAGTCCTCCCCACACACACCTATTTGTCCGGCCAACTGGACCCTTCCAGTAAAATTGGCCCTTCCTGTTTCTTGTTGTCTTACAAAAGACATGGTGTGGAGTTGTAGCGTCTCAGTCTGTCGCCGCTTGTGAATTCCCTCATGTGTGTTCCTCTCTGCCATCCTCTTTTGGTTTCTTCCCATCTCTCTTCCCTTTATTTCTCCCACTTTCTATCTTTTATATTGCAAATTCCCCTCTCTCCCTTCCTACCCCCCACCCCCCCAAATCAGGTCCGATTGAGGTACAGTACTGTATGCCAGCCGATTGCTGCCCCTCACTCTCTCTCCCATCAGTAATGGTTTGCTGCAGCATACCACTCAGCATGCCAGCTGCTGAGCATGGGAGGCCCAGGCTTTTGCATTATATAACTGTGTCTGCATGATGCTGCAGGGCTTTAATCATGCAGAGTCTGAGCACCTTCTCCCAGCTCACAGTGGAAGAGTCGGTCCATGTGCATAGACATGGATGTACAGCAGGAATAGGACATGGTCTATTTCAGTCTGTCTACTTTTCCTGATGATTTTCTCACCCAGTTTGTTTATTAAACGAAGACTTGGAGTTGGAAAGCTATTTTAATACCCAAACTGGATAAGGGGTCATCACAAGAAGTGACTAAACTGAAATTGTACACCTTCAGCACCACTGTACATACTTTTCATCTGCATAGAGCTAAGCCAGCAAGCCAGTGCAAACACTCACAAAAACGATCCATGTAAAACTCAAAGCCCTCGAGGCTTTCTGGTACTGAAACAAAAAAGGAAAACTTTTCCCAGAGAATGCATTTGTCATGAGGCTCCTCCCTTTGCCCTGGCTTCTGACTGCACAGATGCACCCTCAGGTTCCTATGAATCGTACAGAGATTCATACACACACACACACACACACACACACACACACACACACCACTTCACCACAGAGGGAGACTGTATTGTTTTATTTTCAGACGCTTTAGATAAACCACAGTGTACTGAACCTGTTGCTGAATAGATGATGTGCATTTTGAGAAGACATAACAGGATGTACACGTTAACATCTGAATCCAAAACTCTCGAAGGCCCTGTTGCTGTGTGCCTCAGACTAAACTGTTTCCCATATTCTTATTTTCTTACACATTTTCTTTGATCTCACGCCGATTCCACAGAAGTAATTTTCTCGCCGGCTTTCCTGGCTCAGAGACCAAATCCTCTTTGTTGATTTCAAATATTTGCACCACTTCTCGAAGTCCAGGTTTTTTTTTTTTTGTTGCAATCACAATACAGTTCCATGGATGTACTCCCTCAGAGATATGGTGTTGCTTTTACATTAAGACCATGACCCATAAAACCTGGTGGGCTCTGAACCCTCTCTCATGGATAAGACAATGTGTCACAGATTGAGTTGACATATCTATGTATAATCCTTTTCCCTGTCCTTTATTCTGTACTCCTCCTGTCTGTATCTCTTCGTTCTATCTTCTGCCTCCTAACTGTTGTCTGAGACACAATCCATGAGTGTCCATGTCTTTGTCATACCGTGTAACAATATTCGCTCAAACGCCACCTGAAACAGACATTTCACATTTTTGGAATGATGACATTGCCTGCGCTTGCTTCTTTGATTATGATGTTGAAGCTGTGCTATTGCTCATGATATAACCCTCCTCTCTTTTTATCTGACTTATTTTTATCCCTTTCCACGTTTTTCTTTCCAAAAACACGCCCTCATCCCATCCTCCTTTTTGTATCTCGACCAACTCCTCCCCTAAATTTCCAACCCCCTCACTCTCTCCTTTTTCTTTAAATCCTCACACCTCTCCATCCCTCCTCCCTCGCTCCACATGGGGTTTGTGCTCGCCCAGGCAATGCTGGGTAAGGTAACCGCAGAGGCATCCAGAAAAAAGGATGTCGAGGAGGTTCAGAGCCGCCACCGCCTCATCCCCATGGGACGCAAAATATATGAGTTCTACAACGCTCCAATTGTCAAGTTCTGGTTTCATACGGTGAGTGTCGGCTTCAGCAAAACCTCCTACACCCTCCCTTGGATGGTGATTATGCTGACTGAAGTCCTGCAAAAGCATCATTCGTGCGATATATGTGTGCTTCCACACAGCCTCCATTGTCATTAGACTCCTGTTTCAACTTATCGTTAAACAGCTTTACTGAAGTGTTAAAGTGAGAAATGGTGGGAAAGGACAGAAGAAGAATTGACTCCTACATGATGTAGGCATTTTGAATTAATAGCTTGAATATACAGTAAAACCTCTGCATTTCAGTAAAAAGCCCCTGGCAGTTTACAGTTAGTGTTTAAGGTCTACAGTCGGACCGGTGCTCCAAGTGGGGGAAATGTGTGTTTTTGCATCTTTTTATGCATGAGGCATGCATATAGATTCTGTTCATAGTTTGTTTGTTGCAGTTTCTGCCTGTAAGCGTATGCATAATATCATATTTTATGCAAGTGGATATTTTTGTTTCCACATGGATGACTTTAATTTGCTCGTCCAATAAAAACATGTCTAAAATACCGGCAGCGATTTTTCTTTGTGTGCTCTGAAAATGTTTCAGCTGCTAAATAGCATTAATCCCTTCCACCCGCCTCTTCATTCTGTCATTTATGTCAAAACAAAAAGATTTACAGGACATTTAAGAGAATATGCTTATAGAAATGATGCTTTCTTTAACTATAGGGCTCTTGACTCCTTACATCAAATGTATTCATAGCTGTCACCTGCTGTGGAGTGTTGCTTTTTTAAACTAACTGCAGTTCAACGTATTACTGGAACCAGCTGTATGTAAAGGTTTTAATAAGAAAAGTCTGTCACACAATTGCTGCACCCACTACAGTCAAATGCTTGACTTGCAAATAAGAAACAAAGGTCCCCGTTTTCTTAATAATACGTCAATCTGGTGTATAAATAAATGGAATAAATGTATTTACTGCAGGCGATGTGGAAAATCACAGCACAAATGTTTAAAAACTACTCCCACCAAATATTTATCATCAGGTCAAGATAGCTGTATTGTTCTGACTAGAGCCCTGCACGGGCCCAAAATCTGAGCCCGTGTCCGGCCCGGCCCGAGGGGGTGGAGCCCCAGCCCGAACCGGTCCGAGAAGGTTTTCAGGATTCTCTGGCCCGACCCGAGCCCGAACCGACTTTTTATTAACCTTTCATAATGTTTTAGTGTGATAGAATGCTCAGCATTCTAATTATCTGTGAGAAGCGTTCTGCAGTAAAAAAAAAAAAAAAAAGAAAAGAAAAGAAAGAAAAACAGCATCAGTGCAGCTTTTTTTTCTAACAGAGCATTTTTTTAGAGGCAGATGAAATTTACAAACACTATATTAATTGGATGCGTTTGTAAATTTAATCTGCTCTGAAAATGCGCTCTTGTGCAATCAGAAAAAAGCAGCATTCTAATTTTCTAACTGCGAGCGCATTTTCAGAGCGGCAGATTAAATAAACGTTCCCAATTACTAAAGCGTTTTCATGAGAATAAACGAATGGTTTCTGACACATCAAAGTGGACATAAAATGGCGAAATGGGGCACATGTTTCCATCAGCAGTTTGAGAATTCATTTTTATAGGTGCATTTATAAACCACACAGACCTTAACTGAGCTAACGGGTGCCGGTGCGTGAGAAGCAGGCAGGTGCTGCTGCATTTAAGTGTTTCCGTTTTTTTTAATGGATTCGATTAAAAATAAAGGCGCCCAGCCCAGCTCGTGTCTGAGGTAATTACACAGTCGTTGGCCCGAAGCCCGGCCCCCGGGCTGGGCCGACCCGCGGGCCTAGGGCTTCTGTGCAGGGCTCTAGTTCTGACCACTAGGGGCAGTATAGGCTAATGCTGAGTGCTGAAAATGTGTTTCAGTTTCTGACCCTTTCTGAAAAAAAGGCGCCCAGCAACAACCCATTGTCCTTTTTGGATTAAAGTGAGCTTTTCAAATTCTGAATGGCCTCTAGTATTGGCCTCTACCTTGGTCTTGTAAAAGCACATGCAGGGGTAGTGCTTTTTTCTTTTTAAACAGTTGTGTCTCAACCAACAAGTGCAAGCACATAATTCCGGAACGTTCTCTCCCATGTGTCCCAGAGACACCAGAAACGCAGGCGGGGATGGCGTAGCAGTGAACGCCATGTTATCCTCATATAAAACCGCAGCGGGGTTAGAACTATCGTCGATGTAGAACTTTGGTTCTATTTCGTCTAGTCTTAGCCCTTAAGCGAGCTGCTATTGGAAGGGTGATCTCAGCATCAGCCAATCATGAAGAGCTTAAATGTACGCCCACCACTTGGGCACCCCTTGTGCGTTATATAAGTGGAACGACCCCACTGTTCACCTCCGTTTTCTCTTCACGCCAAGCTTAAGAGCTTCCTTTAAGAGCAATTATACAAGAAAAATCTACTCACCGACCATGTCCAGCGACGCCAGGACCTGCCCGGCCTGCCAGACGGGCTCCATCTCCAGCGGCGACCTGCACGCCAAGTGTAAGGTCTGTCTCGGGGCTCACCACGCTGGCCTGGCCTTGACCCCCAGGCCTCGTGCCCATTTTGTACTGCTCTGCACGTGGCTGAAAAGGTCCGCCGGGTCGAGTACTTCACCCCCACCACCGACGAGGAAATTCCGGTGGCTGGCACGTACTCGCTGGACAAGATGTTACAGTTTTTCATCGTCGGCCAGGAGCCGTCTGGCTGCTACCAACTGGACGATGTCATCGACAGCGAGGAGTACGACGAAGCTGGCTGCCATAGCCCTTCTTCCCTCCTGTACAACACGGAGGTCGACCACGAGGCTGGCTGCCATAGCCCTTCTTCCCTCCTGTACAACACGGAGGTCGACGAGCCTCGCGAGGAGCACGACGAGGCTGGCTGCCATAGCCCTTTTTTCCCTCCTGTGCAACACGGAGGTCGACCACGAGACTGGCTGCCATAGCCCTTCTTCCCTCCTGTACAACACGGAGGTCGACCACGAGACTGGCTGCCATAGCCCTTCTTCCCTCCTGTACAACACGGAGGTCGACGAGCCTCGCTCAGTGGGTCCTTCTGCCCCAGTGACTTCTCGCTCCTCCCTGCCAGCAGTTAGAGCACTGCTCCGGGAGCTGCCCGCCATCATCTCCGCGGCTGCGGCCCGCAAGGGGCTAGCCATTCCAGAACTGGCTCCGCCTGAGGCAGATGAATTGGCGGGAATTTTCGGGGCAACACAGACGCGCTGTCCAGACCCCGTCTGGCCACGCTTCCCCGCTGCCATGAGCTGCTGGTCCGCCGCCTTCTCCAAGCCTGCCGAGCTCAAGGCGCCAATTTCCACACATGTGCCCATTACCAAGGTCGAGGGCTTCTCCGACCTGGGCTGGCCATCCGTTCCCCCACTGGAGCCGGACTTGGCCTCGCTGTGTGGCGTCAAGAACCACCTCGCTGGACCGCGAGCAGTTCCCGCTTCTAAGCATGACCAGCTACTGAGGCGGCTCGCCGATCGCGCACACCAGTGCGCCTTCCAGACCGGCGCTGCAGGAAATAACATCGCCTTCTCGCCTTTGGCTCCCTTAAGTGCTAAGACTAGACGAAATAGAGCGTTGGTTACGTATTGTAACCCCAGATTCTATGAGTCTAGTCGCAGCCCTTAAGCCACTGACCCCACTAGTTCTGTTAGGACTAAGAGCCATCGGAGGCGAACAGTGGGGTCGTTCCACTTATATAACCCACAAGGGGTGCCCACGTGGTGGGCGTACATTTAAGCTCTTCATGATTGGCTGATGCACAGATCACCCTTCCAATAGCAGCTCGCTTAAGGGCTGCGACTAGACTCAGAATCTGGGGTTACAATACGTAACCAACGTTTTTTTGTCCTTGTCGCCGATTGTTATGTTTTGCAGTAGGAAAGGAGGTATAATTACTTTATCCACTTTATTACAGAGGAGAACAGTCATACACGGTGTCCATCTTGCATTTTGCACTTCCTATTCAGCACTCACTATTAACCTATACTGCCCCTAGTGTTCAGAACACAGCACTTGCCTAGCGTCCATTAAAGGTGTGGTTGACTAAAACAAAACAATTTTTTGTTATTTCTGATTATAATCAGTCAGTTTTTCATGCAGGCTGAACATGAAAACAGTCTCCTGTCTCCTGCATTAGCTTCTTTTAAATTAGATATTTAAATTTGAAAATCCTCACAGTGAATTAGCATTCATAGACTCCCCAACCTTGATGCACGACAGGGAAGGCGTTAGCATTAGCAGCTTCACCACACAACAGACGCTCCTCCAGGCTTGTGTTATTTGCGGAGCTAAAACATCTAAAGCAGAGGTAGAGTTGTGTTGCTGTCATCCAATCCGGGACAAGATGCCTTTATATCAGGAAATAAGTCTCCAAAACCTGCTGTCTGAAGCTCAGCTGTGATGTGGGCAACATTTAGGTCTGAAAAATGATCCGAGAAAATCTGACCCTTCCTGTTCTGCTTTGTGTTTTCATGCAGATGGCATATGTGGGATACCTGATGTTGTTTAACTACATTGTCCTGGTTAAGATGGACCTGTGGCCTTCTCCCCAAGAGTGGATTGTCATTGCTTACATCTTCACCAACGGCATTGAAAAGATGAGAGAGGTACACATGACCCTGGCTAAATGTCATTGTGAGAAACATCAATGAGGGGTTGTATTAAACAGAATAATCACTAACCAAGACACAAAGCAAGGCACTGTTTGGGTGTATCAATGTTGGATTATGTTCATTTCATGAAACAGCTCAAAACAAATAAGGAAAAAGGGAATGAACTGGTGAACTGGAAAAAGCCCATTAAAGTGTAAAAAAGGATAGATGGCTGGTGATGGAAGCAGGATAAAGAAATGTAAACAAAAATAAGACAGAGTATGGAAAATGCACTGCACCAAATAATAAATTCAACCTCAGTCCATGGCTGTTTTGTTCTGTAAGTGAATGAAATGCATTAATCATCATGTCACATCATTTTCAGCTGCTCCATAAAGCCTCCTCAGATGTCAAATCCTCTGATGGATGAATTTCTACTGCCCTCTTGTGGTGGTCATGATAAAATGCATTTGCATTCTTCTAACATTTTCAGTTCCTCCGTCTTCCTCTTTGAGAGTCTTTCACCGCTGTCTTCCAGATCCTGATGTCAGAGCCAGGGAAGTTGCTGCAGAAGGTGAAGGTGTGGCTTCAGGAGTACTGGAACATAACAGACCTCATGGCCATCCTCATTTTTTCCGTCGGTATGGTTCTGCGTCTCCAGGAACCACCGCTCATGAGCTACGGGCGGGTCATCTACTGTGTCAACATCATCTACTGGTACATCAGACTGCTCGACATCTTTGGAGTCAACAAGTACCTGGGGCCCTATGTGATGATGATCGGCAAGATGGTGAGAGGGTGCAGGGGTGTTTTTGTTTGCCTTTCTGACTTCTTCATTATGAATTCATCTTAGGTATCTGTTTACCTTTGGACTTTGTTTAGCGTAATTGATAGTGACTGCACAATCACACTGAGCTCCATGATTGCAAAGCTGTAATCTGTGCATGTAAGTCCAATGCTAATGGAGCTCCCCGCACCTCCTAACTTGGTTGTTTGATCTCAACAAGCACAATATCGGAGCTTATGATTTATGCATGAAAACCTAAATCTGTAACCATCATGCTTTTGACGTGGACTGTGTACCACCAGACGTGAGCCTTTGAAGTGAAAGTCAGCAGTTGGATAGGGAGAACTTGGCTCATCCGACTCGTCTGATGCTGCAGTGGCACTTGCACCATTTGTTTGCTTATTGGTTCAATTTAGGAGGTGCAATGGGAAACAAGTGTGACGTTGTAAAAAGGCAATAAAACAGATTTTAACCAGAGAAATGTAGATTTTATACTTTTACAACCAATTAATATTAATGGTAAGAATAAAAATTTTATCCCCAAAGTGAAAATACGTTTCAAAATTTTATAGAAACAAGAGATTAAAAATTAAACAGTCACAGCTTAATAGAGCAGCTATTACACTGGCGGGGGTGGGGGTGGGGATCTTCAGCCCTCTAACCCCTTTAATCGATCTGAAATTAACCCAGATTCGACGCAGTTTAATTATTGGACTCGAGTGTCATGCCTAAACAAATCTACTTTGATTTAAAGTGAATGAAAAAAATACCAATTACAGACCTTTAAGTGTTAGATTTTTTCTAACTTTCTATTCTGCTTTATTAGTTAACTAATCATTCATTTATTTCATTCCTTTGCTAATCCTTTTCCTTCTCCGCCCCTCCGTCAGATGATCGACATGATGTATTTTGTGATCATCATGTTGGTGGTGCTGATGAGTTTTGGGGTGGCTCGTCAGGCCATCCTCAATCCTAATGAAGACCCGTCCTGGATGCTAGCCAGAAACATCTTCTTTATGCCCTACTGGATGATCTATGGAGAGGTGTTTGCTGACCAGATTGACCGTAAGTTTTGGGTTTTAGCTGCTGAATGAAAATGTTCCTCTGAGGAGACACTGAAAACAAACTGACACTGGTTTGCATTAAGTTTGTAACACACATAAGAAACATAATTGAGATGAGCTGTGTTACTGTTCTATCAGTTCTTAATAAACATGTCTGCTTTATCTTTATTATAGTTGTTAAATCTCCCTCTTAGAGATTTATTTTTCTAGTTTTTCTTACCTAAATATCAGTAAAAAAAAATCCTCAATACCAGACAAAGATAGCCTGAGTAAATAATAAATGCTATTTAATTCAGTAAGGAAAACATCTATCCCAACCAACCAGGGGCCTCATTTATCAAGCTTGCTTACGCACAAAACAGGATTTATGAAAGAAAACTTAGCGGAAAAATGTGCGCAACTTTAAGTTGACTAAGGACCTTGCTTACGCACATTTTGGACATGGAGAGCACACACACACACTTGTGCGCACACATGTGTGCACACACACACACACAGCCTGAAGCACTGAATATGGAATGCAGAATATCAGCAGGGGAACAGATTGAGACAGAATGTCATGCGTCTGTGACAGTGTGTGTACTGTCATTGTGACCCGATTGATCATACGCCCTGGCTACTTGGACAAGGGAAATCTCCGTTTGGCTGACTGGTTAGCACGCGTAACTTTCACCTGTGAGTCAGGGGATTGAATCCCGATTGGACCATTTTTTTTATATCCGCCACAGATCTCTCTGAAGAATTCACAACATTGATGGTTTCAGCAATGCTGTGCCACGCCGTGGAGTTTCTCTTATTTCTTTTGCAAAAGCACTTCCTTTCATTTCTCCACCTCACCCACAAGTACCTCAATTTCTGCTTCTGTGAAATTGCGCTTCCTTGATCTGCCTTGATCTACAGTCGCCATCGTCATTGGCAATGGCGGAGCGCTGCAACAGCCGGCTTATGTATATGCATGAGATCCACAAGGTACTTTGCATTGACTTTATGGCAGTAAGTGGGCGTGGTGAGGGCGGGATGTGACTAAAATGCAGCTGAGAAACTTTCTAGATAGTTTCTGATTTATGAAGCGGAGATTGCGTGCAGCTGTGTGTACTCCATGTTTGATAGATCACAAACCTACTTGGCGTAAGTACATTTTTTTTGCTGAGCTTAAGTACGGTTTTAGTAAGGATTCTACACAATGTTTGATAAATGAGATCCCAGGCCCTTGATGAAAAAAAAATACGCTGACCACTTTGTTAAATCACATTTTTTAACTGTGATTTATCACATTAATTGAAAAGCTAAGCTCAGTTTCATGAGCTACACACATGCCTGATTACTGTCAGACTTCTAGAGGTAAAAGCACATCACAAAAAGCAGCACATCATGCTGTGTTCTGAATAACATTTAAGAACAAGAGTGCTCAGGACCCTGCAGGTCTAGTATGGTTTAGGTTAAGTGCACAATTCAAGATTCAACTATAGGAAAGAGGAAAGACTAGCACCAAGGTAAGAACATCTGTTGACCAAAGAGTACAGAAGGGCCTATCTCACATGGACAAGAAACAACTTGATAATCCCTAATATTTTTGGAAATATTCAGTGGAATGACGAGACAACCGTGAAACATTTTAGAAGGCTTGTGTCCCGTTACATCTAGTGTAAAACTACCACTGAATTAAAACATGGTGGTGGTAGTGTGATGGTACGGAGCAGCTGTACTGCTTCAATACTTGGACGACTTGCTGTAATTGATGGAAGCATGATGTGTGCTCTTTAAAGGAAAATCCTGAAAGATAATATATGACCTTTGACCTTTAAACAGGTCTTCCATGCTGAAAAACCCTCCATCTTGGCTGAATTAAAACAATGCTGTAGGACAAACGTCCCTCACCGTAATGTGGAATTAGTTTGGATTGCTTATTTTTCTTGAAGTAATAAGAAAAGAAAAGACAAAAAATAAAATAAATGATTCCATGAAATCCCACCTCCACCCATGTGAGATCCACCCATTTCATAATATAACCATAGATTCCCAGCCAAGCATCATAAAGAAGAAGAAAGCATCGTTGGTAACTTGCACATGGAGTGTACCCCGGTTAGTGCCTGGTTGGGTGGTTTTAACATTGGAATGGTGCCAGTTTGAAGGAGTAATCCATTTGAAAATTCACTCTGGTACTGGCGGAGGTTTAACATGCAGTCTTTGTGATGGTGAAACAAATTCCCGTACCTCCTGCAGCCAAAAAGGCACATTCATGCTCTAGGCATTATCAGACTAAATAACAAAGAAATCACTTCCTCAGTCCAGAGGAAAAGGGTTCCAGATTTGACACTATATAGACGGAGAGGGGCAGTGCATGAAGATGCAAAATGTCTCCATCCAAGCCTTTGCAAAGACTTGATAGGCCTGCAGAGGAGCTGCAGCTCAGTGAGAAGAATGCATGCATGGAACCAAAAACTGCTTCAGTATTGTTTTTAGTGATAAAATAACAGCATTACATGCTCAAAGGCTGCAAAAAGTGAATTTTGCCTGATACAATCCCATTAATAGATGAAGTCATCCTTTCAAAACTGCATTTTGCATTTAACCAGGTTCTCTTTGACTGAATTTGAAATGGTTTTGACATAAAACATAAACGTGAGGAGACAAATACATTCAACTTTTTTTTCTTACTGTAAAAGAACAGCAGAGACATTCGTTTCTCATGATTTTTTTTTTATATTAAATTTTTATATTTTGACAAATATATCCAAAAAGATAGGTTGTGGGAGAAGTCTGTGAGGGTGTGAGAGTCTGTCTGTGTGCTGTTCTGTTGTTTCTCTATTGTCCTGTATATGACGGTGTGCACAGAATGTGAGGAGTGGCCCAAAGAGAAGAGATCTGAAATAATGTTTTCATTCTTTGTTTCAGATATGCATAGTAGGAAGTTACAGCAAAGGCTGAATGAAAAACTCTGGCTGGTCGAAAATTACTTTCGAACGCACGGAACCTGGCGTAGCAATGGTCCATCCCACATTGCCCAGTGCAGTCAGAATCCCAGTAATTCTACACACATAGACCTCAGTTTAACCACATCCCTCCTCTTCGTCATCCTCCTATTACCACCATGTCACTCCTGCCACTAGAGCTCTCTTGAGACAAAAGTGTGCATGTGGTTCCTCGCTGAAAGGCTAAAGTTGCCCATGTGTTGGTATCCCGGGTCAACTACTGGACTTCAGCAGAATTAACTAATCAGTTCGATTTGAGAAATTGGTAACATAATTCTGTTTTCTTCAATTTTTTTAAACAGCTAGTAGCTTGACCTTATACCCTTTAAGCAACTTTACTCCAACCAGTTTGCGCCGAAGCTGGTCAGATGGCAGCAGCACTTTTTCTAAAGTGTTTTCATTTATTCTTGGTTTTGTTTCTGGTCCGCTGCCACATCAAGAGGAACTATCGAAAGATTTGATATTCTCTTGATGCCTCTTTCCTTTATTTGTCGCTTAACTCCAAATTACCTTAATTTGAAGATGTGAGCCTGTCATGATAATGCCACATTTCGCATGAACCATGTCACTTCTTCCTAAGGCCAGCTCAGCTTCTCCCTGGAGTAGCTGCCTCGTGGTCAAAATACTAATATATCCAAAAATCCACAAACTTTATTCAAACTATAGTATTTTACACACACACACACACACACACACACACACACACACACACACACACACACACACTAAAACTAACACCCACATTTCATCATCTGTAATCTGTTTTTTCACATGGTTCAGTTGTCAGAGTTTTTAAGTCCAAATGTTTTGAAGGTAAAAAAAAATCTAAAATTACTTCAGTTCTCTGTCTTTGGGCTACATTGTGTGAAACAATTAATCAGCGAGAAATGACGAGCATGACTAGACGGATTCTCCAAGACAAATAAACGAAGGACGAATGCTGAATGTTCCCCAGATCAGCCACAGCAACTGAACCATCAGAGATGGAAAAAACATACTTATGTGTCCTTAATTACATTTCAAATAACTCTGAGCAAACAACCGTTGCTGAATGAAGCCATGGGTTTCATATGTGGCAATATATTTTAAACACGTGTTTAAATATATTGCGAACACGAGCTGTGATGACACATGTGTTGTTCTGTGTATTTTATTTTCAGATATCCATTTCTGAACATGAGCCCCTACCATTATTAGTGTCTGCTGCTCTTCTGGAACCCTTATTAATGGAAACAAAAGCATATGGATATGCATTTACTATGCTTCTTGTTTGTTTGCTAAATTCTGTTTGTGTGTAGCTGGTTTAACCTTTTCCAGTCTGCTTGTCTGTTCTGTTATGGTCTTGTGTTCAGTGTGTGAAGCGTCAAAGCGTTCTCTGTTCATTTAATAATTTTGCTATTATTTTTGTCATAACATTAATTTCCCCCTTTATTTTCTGTTTATTTTGTTTGTCTGCATGTATCTCCACTTACCCATACATCCAAAATGCCTACAAAAGTAAAACTATCAGCAGATTAAAATGATTTCTGAAGATATTCTACCCCTCACTAACCTGTGTGTGTGTGTGTGTGTGTGTGTGTGTGTGTGTGTGTGTGTGTGTGTGTGTGTGTGTGTGTGTGTGTGTGTGTGTGTGTGTGTGTGTGTGTGTGTGTGTGTGTGTGTGTGTGTGTGTGTGTGTGTGTGTGTGTGTGTGTGTGTGTGCAGCTCCCTGTGGACAGAATATCACCACGGAGGATGGCGTGGTGGTGGCTCTACCACCTTGTAAGACTGGTGCTTGGATCGTCCCTGCAATCATGGCATGCTATCTGCTGGTGGCTAACATCCTGCTAGTCAACCTCCTCATAGCAGTGTTTAAGTACGTAAACACTATGAACATTAAAGGCCAAGTTCACTGACAAACTGCTTTTTACTTATCTCTAAAGTATGATTGGTCACTCTGAGTTTAACATGCAGGCGTAATGGGAAAATAATCTTCTACCCCTATTTCCTGAATTAACTTCTGATAGAAATTAAACAGGGAAAATCTTGGACTAGAAAAGCCTGAAAATTGCACATGGTAGTGTCAAATTAGTATTCATGGACTCACCCATCTTGGCTCGCAATGGGGAAAGCCGTTGTTGGTTTAGCATCCAGGAGAGAGCAGAGTACGTCTTGGCGAGTAGAAGCAAACTGTTAGCATTAGCAACTCCACAACATGGCAGATCCCCTTCAGACTTGTGTTAATTGTGGAGATAAACATCAATGTTGCAAAGCAAAAGGAGTCGATGGCAGAGTTGTGTTGCTGCTAGCCAATCAGAGGCAGTGTCCGAATATCAGGAAAAGGACCCCATATTCTCGTAGGCTCACTTCTAGTTCCTGAAACAGAAGCGCCACTGCAAATGTGTTGAACTTGGTTTTCAACTTGAAAAAAACTGCAGGCACATTTTGAAGTCTCTTCAAACTTTCACACGAAAAGACATCATGATTACTTAAAATTTTGAAAAGTTTCTGGCAAACCCGCCATACTCAGAAATGGAAACAGATCAGCTAAAGTCCAAAAACACCTTCACAATCCCCTTAAACTGTTGCTTAGGGCATGAGATAATCCAAAAGTCTAGATTCTTGGAAGAAACACATTGCCATTTTCACATAACCACAGATTCCTGTGTCATAACTGATCTGGAGTCTGTCTGACTGTTCATAGTAACACCTTCTTTGAGGTGAAGTCCATCTCAAACCAGGTGTGGAAGTTCCAGCGGTACCAGCTCATTATGACCTTCCATGAGCGCCCAGTCCTTCCTCCACCCCTCATCATCTTCAGTCACATAACCATGGTCCTCAAGCATCTGTGCTGCCGCTGGCGCAAGCACGACGACGACGAGAGAGACTATGGACTGAGTGAGTGATGATTCCTGGAAAATGTTCCAGTTTTAATAACATGAAAACATGTAATCAATACAAAGACTGGAACATGTGCAGTTTACATTTAAATTGTTTATTTATGTAATTGTGTCAAACTTTTCTTTTCCACAGAGCTTTTCATCACAGAGGATGAGCTAAAGAAAGTTCATGACTTTGAGGAGCAATGCATAGAGGAATACTTCAGAGAGAAGGATGACAGATTTCATTCATCCAATGATGAAAGGATCAGAGTCACATCTGAGAGGTCAGATTACTCTAATCTAACTTCTACTCAGTAGGCAATTAGTGCTTATTATGACTTAACTGTATTATCTTCTTCTTTTATTATATGAGAACCCCTCCAAACTAGATCAAATGGTAAATGGTCTGGATCTGAATAGTGCCTTCTTAGGTTTAACCCCCCAAGGCGCTTCACAACACAATCAGTCATTCACACACATTCACACACTGGTTGGGATGAGCTAAAATGTAGCCACAGCTGCCCTGGGGCGCACTGACAGAGGAGAAGCCTGCCGAACTCTGGCACCACCGATCCCTCCGACCACCACCAGCAGGAAAGGTGGATTAAGTGTCTTGCCCAAGGACACTACAGCAGCATTCTCTGGTCGGAGCCGGGATTGAACCTGCAACTTTCTGATCACTGGACTATCCGCTCTACCTCCTGAGCTACTGCTGTCCCTCATCAGCCTTCTGACACCTCAAACACTTATTCTGGCCAATAACTGAGCAGCTGCTAGGAATTTGATGCATTTCTCATGGTGTGAATTTTTGTCCATTTTTTCCCTATCTTCACCAGGGTGGAGAACATGGCGATGCGCCTGGAAGAGGTCAATGAGAGGGAACACTTCATGAAGGCATCACTGCAGACTGTTGATATCCGTCTGGCACAAATGGAGGAGCTAATTGGACGAATGGCCGTTGCGCTGGAGCGTGTGACGGGTGTTGAGCGCGTGGAGGTCAACAAAGCACGATCCCGGACTTCGTCTGATTGCACTGATTCTGCGTATATACTCCGCCAAGCTGAGTGCCAGGATTCCGCATACATCCTACGCCAGAGCAGCTTCAACAGCACTGAGGGGAATGCCTACCGCCTACAGGAGGCGTTGGAGGGAACAGCCGAGGGCTCCATGTCCCCTCCCTCTCCCACAAGCATGGCTATGCGGACAAGAAGTCACTCATTTTATGTTGGAGGCGGGCGTGTTGTTGAGCGCGCAAGCGGGGCTGAACGGGCCGAAAGCTTCTTCAAAGAGCGGTCGCTCAGTCTCCACCGAGCCAACAGTTCGCAGTCTGTGTCCTCAGCTGCTGCCCCCAAGGAGTCTAAGCCCCTCCCACTGGCGACGCTGTCGGTTTCCCAGCAGCACCGTCCATCATCGTGCATTGATATTTATGTCTCCACTTCTGAAGAGGTAGGACCAACAGAGGTATTTCTGGAAGCTCTCCGTGTGGTCCCACCCCTGCAGAGAGACTCCTCGGTGCAGTCAGATACCATGGAGACGGTGCTGCGTGGAGGCCGTGACTTCAGCAGCACTGCCACTAGCGGTTTGGGCGACAGGCACTCGGAGGGCGGAGGAGGAAGCAGCGGAACAACTGGAGCTATGTTTGATGACAGTGCAGCTGCTGACTTGTCATTGTGCTCGGCACACCTCTTACCAGACACCACCCTACCTCCTTGGGATATGGAACCATCTCCACCTCCCTCAGCAGGGCTGCTTGAACGCTCTAAGAGCAGCCGCTACCTCTCAACAGCGGGCACGTCCTTCCTGGATGAGCCTCCTCTGGTGAAGTCCCACAGCCTTATGTTCACGCCAAGAGGCTGCTATGGTGGACTTGGGGCAGGGGTCCAGGTAAAGGCAGCAGAGTACACCAGCATCACTGACTGCATCGATACACGCTGCGTCTCAGCTCCATACACTCCTGCAGAATGCTCACACTCACCCGGAGCTTCCACCTCATTCACCTTTGATAAACCGTCTGACATTAGTTCCTCTCACCCAGAGAGAGAAGCGGAGCTAAGTCACACAGAGTCTGATCCAGAGGACCCTGAGGACATGATTCCAGCCTCTGATACCCCTCGGATAGGGGGCCTTGGTGGGCCCAGTGGAGCCCCTCTCTGCTCCCCCTTCTCCAAGCTGGAGCGCGCAAACAGCTGCTCTTCAGACGACTCCCATCCTTCCCTCACACTGGCCCCTCCGCACCGGAAGAGCCTGTCGGTGAGTGAGAGGATGGAGAGGGGACCGGGTTTGGGAGCAGATAGGGTACCTGGGTCTGGGGGGCGAGGTCTGGTAGGACACAGAAACCCTTTCCTCAGGAGCAAGTCCGGAGCAAGACCTGAAACAGCTAAGACAGACAGCCTGTCTATAAGGAAGCTGGCTGCTCCATCAGCTTTCCGCAGCTTTGATAGACAAAACTACACGTGACATGGACACATCACTGCACTCACACACTGTTAGGGCCAAGGTGGAAACGGCAATGGTGACAGCAGGATGAAGCTGCCCGTAGATGCTGGTCTGTACCACACCTACGCTATATTCCCTCACATTTTTCATTAGAAACAGTTACTCATAGTCAGTGTTGAGGGGCAGCTTTATCCTGACCCACGGATGAGAAAATGTAGAAGTTTTTATGTAAAACCATCAAAAACAAAGAGCTACAAATCTAGACTAGTTTATGCCTCTTGTAGCAAAGTACGGGATGTTCTGACAACGGAAGGTGTATTTGTCTTGTATGTCTTCCAGTATCCAACTTCACATCGAGTAGACATCTGTCACTGTGTTGCATCACATATCAGTCACACTAGTCAGATAAATATGCTGTTTTTTCTACCTGCATTAATCTGTAGACGCCATCAGAGAGAAACCAGTAAGAAAGGACACACTCAACTTGTTGGGCCATGCTTTGTCAAAATCATTTCACCGTCTCCAGTCTGCTCATACGAGGCTAATGCATGAATGGTGGTTTTTGATGAAAGAAATGTGTATGGTGACAATCTCTCCACACACAAGCATGGATGGAAAGCATTAACAAGTGCAATTGCAAATAATGAGGACTAGAGGGCGCTGTGAGCGTGTGAGTGGGCTCGTGCTTGGCCAGATTAAACAGATGTGAACCTTTTTTTTTGCCTGAACCTTACACCAAAAAATCTTTCCACTCAGTTAAGTCTTAGCTCTCTTTGTAGTCAAACCCCTCCTTTACGTTTTGGAGATGTTATTGTTTATTTATTTTACAACCATTTACATCTATTAGATCCGTCCTTCCATCTATTCCAATATTGCCATTTATTTTACCCATTTTCTGCAAACAGACTCTTAGAGAAAGATAACTGATGAATGGTCCAAATGTAAAACGGTGTACAGGTCACAGAGTTCTAAAATAAAGCACTACTTTGAAATTTAAGAGCTTGGGAATAAGCTGTTGAGTATATGCATTCTATCAGAGGTTCGATATATTTTAGATGACATGAAAGAAGAAATATTGGATTAATAATATCATCAAAAAGATGAACCCAGATGCTAGTTTTTCCTCTTGTTTTAATTTTTTTTATTCTACTGGAAAAGTTTGATGAGAAACAAAGGATGTCTGTCCAATTTTGATTTGTAAAAAATAGATGAAATTATTAGAGTCCTAGTTGATTAAATATATTTTCTCGCATTTATAATTCTGTTTAATCATGTTGCATTTACATTGAGATGATGATTCTATTTATGAACATTTTTCCTGCTCATTGATTGAAGTAAATGCCTGTTTGAATTACAAAATTAATATTTATATGTTTTCAGTGATATTTTTGTCAAATTATGAGTATTTTATAATTAAGCTTTTAAATATAATAAAATAAAAGATGACCATCTACATGCACTAAAATGATGATGTATAATATTATTTATTAATATCAGTCTCAAACACTGTACATTTCTATCATATTTAATGTATTTTAAGTAGTTTTTATTGTGTTTTATCAAACTATTTATGAGGACTTTTTTAATGTTGATTTGGCAACACATAGTTGCCAGTTAACCAAACTTAGGGTGCCTTTTTTGGGCATGGATGATGAACTTGGGGATCTTGTTTGTCTTCTTTAAGAATCACGTTTGCTTATCACTTTCTCGTAAACATCTGCTCTCCTTGTCACCTGACATACGGTGAGGAATTGTTGATTCTGGCAGATAGTTTCATTGCATTTTTTGGGATTTCTCACAAAAAGGATATCTTTAACTTCTCAAAGTTTAGATTTTTTTTTTTTTTTTTTTGCACATTAAACTAAAACATCAAATTGAGAAAACAGCTTCTCGCTTGTAATAACTTGATCTTATCACGGCCCAAACATAAACATTCATTACTGTTTAAACCTCTCTGTCGCATATCAATAAAGAGGTGCAACTGTCATCGGCTCTCTTTATGGTAAAAACTAACATTACTGTTTTAATTTTGTTTGTTAACAATTCTTAAATATCCCTTTAACCTATTACTTTTTCACTTTGACATAAGGCTTACATTTTCAGCACATAGTCAGTATTAATCATGTAGGTTGGACAGAATTAGAAGTATGTCGTTACATGCAAAACTTGCCGTTTCTTTACCAAATGTGTGGGTTATGTCGTGGAGACAGATGGTTGACCCCAGGTTTGTGCTCAGGGACAATATTCCCCCAGTGATGCAAAACAGAGGGTTCTTCATAGGGACATGGTGGGATTTCAAGTAGGAGGATAAGAGATGTTTGTCTTAAAAGTGAAGGTGTCTATTAAAATCACTGTGCTTTATGAATTTAACCCAGAATTTTGGGGGAATTTTAGATGATCTACAGGTGCTGGCCAGTAAATTAGAATATCATCAAAAGGTTGAAAATATTTCAGTAATTCCATTCAAAACGTGAAACTTGTACATTATATTCATGCAATGCACACAGACCAATGTATTTCCAATGTTCATTACATTTAAATTTGATATTCATAAGTGACAACTAATGAAAACTCCAAATTTGGTATCTCAAAAAATTAGAATATTCTGAAAAGGCTGAATATAGAAGACACCTGCTGCCACTCTAATCAGCTGATTTACTCAAAACACCTGCAAAGGCCTTTAAAAGGTCCCTCAGTCTTGTTTTGAAGGCACCACAATCATGGGGAAGACTTCTGACTTAACAGCTGTCCAAAAGACAATCATTGACACCTTGCACAAGGAGGGCAAGACACAAAAGGTGATTGCTAAAGAAGCTGGCTGTTCGCAGAGCTCTGTGTCCAAGCACATTAACAGACAGGCGAAGGGACGGAAAAAATGTGGTAGAAAAAAGTGTACAAGCTCTAGGGATAACCGCACCCTGCAGAGAATTGTGACGACAAACCCATTCAAAAATGTGGGGGAGATCCACAAAGAGTGGACTGCAGCTGGAGTCAGCGCTTCAAGAACCACCACGAGGAGACTCATGAAAGACATGGGATTCAGGTGTCGCATTCCGTGTGTCAAGCCACTCTTGAACAAGAAACAGCGCAAGAAGCGTCTCGCCTGGGCCAAGGACAAAAAGGACTGGACTGATGCTGAGTGGTCCAAAGTTATGTTTTCTGATGAAAGCAAGTTCTGCATTTCCTTTGGAAATCAAGGACCCAGAGTCTGGAGGAAGAGCGGAGAAGCACAGAATCCACGTTGCATGAGGTCCAGTGTAAAGTTTCCACCGTCAGTGATGGTGTGGGGTGCCATGTCATCTGCCGGTGTTGGCCCACTCTGTTTCCTGAGGTCCAGGGTCAATGCAGCCGTCTACCAGGAAGTTTTAGAGCACTTCATGCTTCCTGCTGCTGACCAACTTTATGGGGATGCAGACTTCACCTTTCAACAGGACTTGGCACCTGCACACAGTGCCAAAACCACCAGCACCTGGTTCAAGGACCATGGTATCCCTGTCCTTGATTGGCCAGCAAACTCGCCTGACCTTAACCCCATAGAAAATCTATGGGGTATTGTGAAGCGGAGGATGCAATACGCTAGACCCAACAATGCAGAGGAGCTGAAGACGACTATCAGAGCAACCTGGGCTCTCATAACACCTGAGCAGTGCCACAGACTGATCGAGTCCATGCCACGCCGCATTACTGCAGTTATTGAGGCAAAAGGAGCCCCGACTAAGTATTGAGTGCTATACATGCACATTCTTTTCATGTTCATTCTTTTCAGTTGGCCAACATTAGAGAAACAAACATTTTTTCATTGGCCTTTAGAATATTCTAATTTTCTGAGATACCAGATTTGATGTTTTCATTGGTTGTCACCTATAAATATCAAAATTAAACGTAATAAACATCGGAAATACATTGGTCTGTGTGCATTGCATGAATATAATGTACAAGTTTCACGTTTTGAATGGAATTACTGAAATATTTTCAACCTTTTGATGATATTCTAATTTACTGGCCAGCACCTGTATATAAAAATATTTTTTCGTTTTATGTCTTCGGAATAGCAATAGCATTTGAATGAATGTCTTCTGGCTTGACTGGCTCGCCCGTAGAAGCTAAAATTGCCAGCAGGAAATAAAACTCTAAAAAACAAACAAAAGGGAAGGGATGTTTATGTGTTGGTTTTTGGATGCTTGTGTTTTCATGGAACAGGCTTTGGTCATGCACAGCTGCTGCTTACATTTTGAACCAAACCAAACTTTGTCAAACCAAACTAAAACAGACTAATGCTCCATTCAGTGGCGAATTTAGAAATTTGGGGGTCCAAGGCGAACACAGACATGGGGCCCCCTTAATCTCTCCCCTCTTCTGACATGAGTTATTTTCCCTTTTTATTAGTCCTCCTCTTTTTTCCTGTCTTTCTCTCCCTTTGAGCGCTTTCAATATTTGCTCTGCTTTCTTCTTCCTGTCAGTGCTCCTGTGCCTTTGTTATTTTTCTACTTTCCATTTTGATCTATGTTTTCCTCCCTTTAAACATTTTCCATTGTCTTTCCTTTCATTTTGATGTTTACATAGAAAAATGACGTCACTTTCAGAAGTGAAGATAAAAGCTTTTTTGAAGCAAGCTGCTTCTTTCTTTTATTGGAGCCACTAGGATAACTCCATTTCATACTTAATGTTTTGACTACCGCTTCGAGTTTGTTACGAACGCTCCCACCTCTCTTCTTCTTCTGCTTTCTCTTCTTCTTATTTGTGGTCTTATGGCACTTGGCAAACAACAATTTGGTGCATTACTGCCACCAACTGGATTGGAGTGGAATGAATACCAATCACTTCCTGTTTGTGCATGGAGTCTTAAAGGAATGGTCCATTGTGGCATTAACAGAGGGGTGCCGGCGGTCAGGGCTAGGGGGCCCCCCGGCACAAGGGGCCCCGGGCTACCGCCGACCTATGCCTACTAGTAAAACCGCCACTGGCTCCATTGACCCGTAGTCTGCAGAGCTGCAACAAACAGGATTAACCCTCTCAGGCTCAAAATAAGTTTTGATAAAAGGACGAACAACTAGGTCCTTCAGGGGTGCTTCTGAGTTAAAAAACTCATGAAATACATACGTGGAGTAAGCAGGTAGGTAGGTTTTAAATGTTGCAAATCTGCAACGCCTGCCTCCAGAGGGTAAACCCTCAAATTTGCAATGTTAAAACCTACCTACCTGGTTTCTCCACTAATGTATTTCATGAGCATTTTTAACTCAAAAATACCCCTGAAGGACTTAGTCGTTCGTCCTTTTATCAAAACTTAATTTGAGCCTGAGAGGATTAAAAAAAAGCCAAGGTTGAACTTCAACTCAAGCATGGCAAAGTCTGAAAACAAAATGACTGAGTTAGGCACTCCCATTTGGCTTGTTATAACACACAAAAAACAGAAAAGAAACTCCCTCTACGGTTTGTTTATTCCACAGGAAAGAGTGTCAGATATCATACGTGTCACTGGCATGTAGGAACGTCTACGATCGTTAAACGGAGTGGTGTGTTGACACGGCTGGTGTGTGAATGTGGGCGTGTACAACTGAACTGCGTGTGAACTCAAACATTTAGATGACACCAATAACAGGGAGGTATGCCAAGACAACACAACACAGCAAAATCTCAGTGTACAGTACTTTTTAAATATTTTCCTAATGCTCGATCATTTATTTTGAGAGGATCAGGCGTTTTAATGATAATCAGAAGATTTGCTTCCTTCCTATGAAATGAAACCTGTGACTAGTAGGCTAAAGAGAAGTTTCACGCACATGTCTTTTTTGTAATAATGTTAAATTAAATAATTAATTAATTAATTCAAAAGGGAAATTTAGGTTCCTCACTACTGGTCACACCTAATTTTATGTCCTTTAAATGCATGCAGTTCTTCCACTCAGCGTGTACACAGATGACTTGTAATGTTGACTGAGAGAAAGATAGAGATTATGAAATTACAGTAGTGAGTATTTGGATGCAAATACAAATCTGTATTCTTCAATGTGAATAGGATCATGTCTGGCATGCATTGTTAATTAAATGATTAAATAGATTGGTATCTGTGTAGTGCCTGTTTGTTTAATTTGTACCTTTTTTAAACATATTCAACCAGTAAATCATCAAATTATTGCTTCATTTTGTGTTTGTACCATTTGTGAGAAGAGTGTGACATCACTGTCTGTCAGTTTGTCTAAGATAAAATCAGCAGAATTTTTTAAATCCTAAATTCTTTAAAAAAAACTAATTTTCAAAAATGGAATTTCCTGTAATCTTTTTAAACTGGTGTTGATCATTAGTCCTCCAGACTTTCTAAAGGCCTTTCAAAGTTGCAGTTTGGCTCATTTTATATCCCTGTACTTGAGTGTGACAAAATATTAGGAAAAAAAGTGGAGAACATAAAATTTGGCATGCTTGATTTTCAACAGCAAATAAACATATCTGAAAAATATTTCTTGACTATGTCAAAATATTCCATAAAAATCCTAGAAAAACATCCTTCAGGAGAAGAAGTTTACAACTTTGGAAATTATGGTAAATTATGATACTTGGGTATCAAAATGTGTTATCTTTGCTTCTATTAACAGATTCAGCAGTAGAAGCAACAACAAATTTGGTCTGTTGCAGTTTGCTCGTAACAAAATATCCAAAGATTCAATTTAGATCTGGTTCTATTGGTTTTGTTACGTGTGGATAGAACAGTGGTTCATTATTTGAGTTTAGGAGCCTTTTTATTTGCAGCTAGGTCACCTAACTAACGGAAACCTGAATTGGTGAGGTAGGACAGAAAAAATCATCAAAAAAAATCATCTGAAGTCCAAAAAAATATATATACTACTTTGAAACACTTAGAAGTACAAAGAATTGCAATACTATATAGACTGGAATTGCTTCATTGCAAAAATAACATCACTAACAAAACACAATTAGTACGTGTAAACATTACACGTAGCAAGTACTGTACACAGCCAGTACTTTAAACTT